AAAATCCTCTAAGGGACCACACAGGAAAGTGGGACAGTGACTCTTCGCTTCCGCCCACCTCAGTGCTCTTCCACGAAGTAATCCAACGATGTATGAAATCTTAATAGAATCCCGGGTAAAGGCTTCTGGTGAGCGCTCAAATGCGAGTCTACACTGTAAAAGCAAGCTGTAACAATCCTCGAACTCACCACTGAAGGTCTGAGATGGTGGTGAAGAGGCTGGGCAGAAGTGGGTGACTTCCGTGTGCGTTGTTGTTTCCGGCTCGGGGGCAACAGGAGCTACTGAGGCGGTCGGCGGGTGTTCCGTGGCGAGGGCCGGGGGCTGCGGCTGGGACAGTCTGTCATGGACCTGCCGTACCATGGCCTCCAACTGCTGGTACTGGTGGTTAGCTGCCAGTAGCTGCTCCATCAGCAGTGGCAGAGCTTGCTCCTGTTGGGACAACCTGTGGAGCAAATTAATGAGAGGTGGATCTGCGGGGGTTAGTGGGCTGGCCGGATGATTCCGACATGGTCTGGGGAACGTGTTTAAACTAAGACATGCAGAATCACACTCTCACACAGATCTCAGGGTAAAATAATGTTTTATTAATAAAACGGGAACTCGGGGCGCACTGGAAAAGACCAGTGGAGGTAGAAAACGGGAGCGCAGCGTCTGAGGAGGGGAGAGCAGAAAACAGGTGAGTCCAGGGAGGTAAGTCTAAAACTAGGTGGGTGCAGAGCTTTAGACTTACTGGGAGCTGGTAGGTTAGGAGCGAGGGAGGGTAGGTTGGGTGCCGGGGTGAATCCACGAGGGGAGTGTCCAGGAGAGGGAGCGAGAGGAGAGCAGGAGAGCGGGTTATCCAGAGGAGTCTCAGAGGGAATCCAAAATGATCCAAAACCTGGGAGACAGGTAAGTCAGGTAAAAATTCCAAAACGGTCTCAAAATACTTAGAATCACTAGAGTTATATCCAAGAGTCACAAAGGGCTGGAAGCTACTGAGCTGTAGTTAATCATCCGGCGAAGTGATGTGTTCTCCTCCTCCTTAAATAGCTGGACCCGCTGATTGCCAATGCGCTGCAGCTGGAGCCTCCCTCTCCTGAAACACAACAGCTCAAAGATGGGGAAAATGAGAGAAGTACTCACCCCGGCACATGACAGTATTTACCATCATCCTTCAGAAAGCCATGTCCCCCTCAGATACAAAAAAAATTTTTTATCACTATGAATGAGAATGGCTTAAAACACTAATGTGAGGTGAACCTTAACCTTAATTTGTTTCTTATGAAGATGTGTATGAGTGTAGATAATGCTTTACTTGTTAAATCAAACACATGCGATCATAAGATCTGCAATGGATCATTGTAAGAGCAACATTCTTTTCAACTTCATTGATTTAAGCACAGATTATTAAAACATTTCATTTAAACATCTTGTTCATTCAACGCACAATTATGCAGAGAGATAAGGCTTTTGCGGGAGACCTTGACAGTTTATTTATGTCTGCGCTGAAGAACAATAAGTGAGTAAAAGGTTGATTTGTGGGTCTGAATCCTCCAACTGGTGTAACCTTGACTTTGCAGCTCTGGCGTGTATGAAAGGTTACTGTGTCAATTTGATGGTGAAAATGGACCTTTTTGATTCATTTCATCAGCCATAAGAGTGATCTTAATATTAGATATCAGTATCAGCCCAAAAATTTCATATTGGTGCATCGCTAGTCTTTATGCTTGTGTGAATTTCTTTGACCTGCTAGGTTCAGGATTTTGGAGCAGCAGGATTGTTGGATTTATCCAGAGTGAACAAAAACTTTGTTTTTATGTCTTATTTGTTTAAATGATGATAAAGTATTTGAGTAAAAGAAGTTTACTCTTCCAGTTCTGTAACAATCCTCCACAGGTTCTCATTTCAAAGCAAGTTTTAACAAAAGCCACAATGATGAAAATTTACTTCCCAGCCAGAGAAAAATCCTTAGGAAGCCATTATATACATTTTTTCAAGTGGAAAAGGGAAAATTTTAGGTGACGACTTCTAATTTCAAATGTGCTAATTTTTCCACTGATGGTTCTTTTAAAGTTGACTTTAAAAACAGCTACCTGGTGCGGGGGTCGTTCTACCAAAACTGTTTATTGGTCTTGTTTGCTTTTTAATTAGTGAGCACGTGAACACATGGTGTGGCATCCTAAGTCTAGGAGACCTGGTCCTTCTGTGGTCCTGTCAGTCTGGTCGAGCTTTTCTCCCATCATGCTGTTTGCTTTGGGCCAAACAACATTTGCTTCATTTGCACATCTACACTTTCACACTGACTTCCACTGTCCATGGTTGTCTTTATTGTGTGTGTAATAATATGATTATTTAGTAATCAGGATATTTTGTTTGTATTCATAAATATGCAACAACTTTTCTTAATTAATATGCCCTGAAGCATTGAATACAGTTCATTTTGTTATTAGATAATTTCATTGTTCTACAGAAAAGTTAAAAGAAGAAACTAGGAAGTCCCTGTGGTTGTTTGTAAGCTAAAACCCAGGTGTTAAGCAGATTTATGATTTTCTTGCGAGAAGTGAGGAGAGAGGAGAACGAGAGGAGGGAGAAAGGAGGCGCGAAGGAGAATCGTCGGATGGCCGTGGAGAGAGACTAAAGGAGCTCGAGGAGAACTGCTAATAGGCCGGGTGCGGAATCATATCCAGCCTGGACGATTATTCTTCACACCAGAAGATCGTGGAAGAGTTCGTGGTGTCACGATTCAGTGTTGGTAGGACCCAAAATGCAGTACCCAGGATGACACGAGGCAGAATTTGGTTCAAAGTAAAAATCCTTTTATTTGCAGGATAAAGGAAACAAAAATAAATCCAAGGCAGCGAGCCAAAAACCAAAAAGTCCTGGAGCAGAGGACACCCAAAGCTCTCTTAGAAAACCAAAAACCTAGAGACCAAAAGCTCAACCAAGAGCACGAAGACCTGGAGACAATAAGCTCACACTGAGCATGGACAAACGCTGACAACATACAAACAATGGACCGACACCAAACAGAGACAAGACAGGGCTTAAATACACAGGGAGAACATTTAAGCAAACAGGAAACAGGTGTGTGGAGTGAGGGCTGGAGGGAAGGCAGGTGACACCAATTATCTAAATGGGGGAAACAGAACCAATGGAGGGCAGATAACCTCAAACCCAAAACTAAACCTAAAACTGAGGGAAGGACTCACACAAACACTGAGCAGGGGAATGGCACAGGACCTGGGAGGAATTGACTTTACAACATAAGACACCTAACTGAAACGCAGACAAAGGACACATGAGGGCGCTAAGAGACACAAAAGGGAATCTAGAGAGGGATGGAGGACACCAGGAGGCACATGAAGAAAGGGGCAGACGCAGACCATGACACGTGGCCGATGTAGGCAGTGGGAGAGCGAGTTTTAACCGGTTCCAGTGGAGGTCAGAGGAGCTAAGCTACACTAAAGTTTCGCTGCAGCTATCGGAGCCACACAGGAGGAGTGTGACGCACGGATCCAGCCACTCACCTGCACCGTGGGAAGAGAGCCAGGGAAGTTGGGACCCGGCATTGTTTTCCGCGATTGTGGGGACCAGGAAACACCTCCGACTGGTAGGATCAAGGGTTCCATTAAGGGAAATGAGCTCCAATGCGCGCCACCAAACTTAAGGCAAGCTTGCATAAAACATAAAGAGTGCACTCTAAAACTTCTAAAAAAAAAAAAAAAGAACTATAAGGGAAAACTAAACACGGGTTAACTTACTGTAATTTGGAACTAGTTTTTTGTGTTTATCATTCTCATTTGGTTAATACAGATACTCAAAATCTATTTCATTGTGTGTTAGCGTTTTCTTTATCCAGATGTACACTGGGAAACAAAAGTGCTTTACCACATATTGTTGTGTGCCTTGGGAAACCTCTGGAATCAAAGTTAAACCTCTAGACACAGTTTATATACATTGGAATGTCTCTTTCGCCACAACCGTAATTTGGGATTAAAGGGTAACGAGACTCAATAGCCAGCACCATATTCTATCGAGCCAGGTGGTGAAAGGGTTACATGTGTATTTAAATTTCTTTGTTAGAATCAAAACAATATTTTTCTCCTCAGTTCAGACTCTCCCAGTTCTTTCCTTGGCCGTTGATCCAAGCCATGATGAAGTGACAACTTATCTAATTTTGTTTTATTGTTCTGTAAAATCATGTCAATCATTGTTTTTCACTATGTTTAACTGTGTTACACACACAGTCACAGCTGTTGTGGAGGGGTTTTGTTGCTTCTCCTTTGGGGGACTCTATTGAACGTTGTGCTAAAGCAGTTATTGAAGATAGCAGACCATGGTGGAGTTTATTCAGTGATGTACATCTAGTCTTTCTGAGAGGAACCAGACTCTTCGTGTTTGTGGTTGGAATGAGTGGCTAATGTGCATAATAGGCCAGAATCAGCTCTGACTCTGATGGTTTAGTGTGTGTGTGTGTGTGTGTGTGTAACATCTGGTAGATGTTCCTCCACAAGGCCAGGTTTACTGTTGGCTAGTGGCTGGATCAAGTGGTGGTGTGATGTAACAATAGGGGCATTTTAAGCGTGCTAGAGCCTCAGCAGGTCAAAAAGAACATTTTTTCCTATAGGATAAAAAGTCACACCATCGTTCTGGCCTGCTTAGGATAGGATGGATTCATTTTTCTGGGAGACTCTTTGTACATTCAAGTTTTTCTAGTACCTCTTTTCAAAAGATCTGAAGTAATGGAAACTGCTCAGTATGGCTTCTGTTGAAATGATGAGTATAACAATGGTAGGACTGTGTGTGTGTGTGTGTGTGTGTGTGTGCATGCTCACTGTCCTCTTCTTTATAGATTTATTACTAAGGAACAGTTATTTGCCAGTTTTACTCTTTGTTTCTCCGTATCTTCTTCCTCCCACTCTTATGTTTTTCTCCTATTTATTTTATTTTCATTCTTACCTGAATCCCTCCATCACTGCTGCACCTTTTCATCAAAATACTTTCCAAATATCACCACTCAGATCAGCGCGAAGGTTGGTTTTCTGACTCTTTATCATGGTAAAGCAGAGGCCCGGCAGACTGGAGCCGTGCTGCGCCGGCACCTCGCTGGGCGCCCCAGGCCCGTCCCGGCCTCTTTCTGAGGACCCTAGCCCACTGTGAAACCCCCCCCCCCCTTTTCCACTGACCTGCACTCCAGCCCAACCCCATCCTCTAACCTCTACCACATTAGGCTGCGTGCAGCCTTCTGCTGCAAATTTTGTGAAGCAAGCGTTTCCAACCTCACGGCCCTGAAGTGCCAGATGTGCTCATGACTGATCACAACTGTGAACCCACCCAGACTGGATCAGGGTCCTGACAGAAAACTGGTAACATGAAAACTAGGTGGATGTAGTTTCCTCTTGATTTAATCTTGATGTAAATAGAACAAAACTTAAAGACGCTTTCAGCTTGCTGTAATCGTCTTTGTTCATACAGAACCAAGCTGAAGTTGTTTTTACACCTTTACTGCCTGGTTTTGACCCACTTCATTCCAGCTACCTTTCTGTTGAAGTCTGATTCAGTCAAATTCAGTTTAATCTTAATTGTAAAAGGTTATTCAAATGTGTTGAATGTCTGCCCACCTCTAGACATCCAGCAGTAGGACTGGACTAGTGGGGGGTGTAAAAACATCAGTTTGATTAGAAAATGGGTCAGCAGCATCACCGCTGATTTGGCGAGTGGAACCCATCACAAAGAAACTTCTCAGTACTGAAGCTTGCTTCACAAAATTCTGCTTGAGTCACATGACCTCCTGACCTGCATGCTAACTTTCTCTGGCTGAGCTCCCACTGTCTCCTCACGCATCTCTGTGTGGAAAATAGAAAACAGGGAACAAACCCAAGCCTCAGATTTCTCTAAAACCCAAACCAGAGGATTCTAGGGGCATTAGTGGATCTGCAGGCTTGAGTTGCATGTTTTTCTTTCTGTTATAGTTTTGATGTTATTTTCACTCATTTAGAAAAACACCACACCGAGTTCAGGTGTTTGTTGTTTGCAATGAGTGAACCCATGAAAACTGCACGAGGCTCTCTGGAGTCCAGCCTGAGCTGCATGAAGGTTCTGGTCCTCCAGAGTTCTTGAATAATTTGTTGATGGTTTCATTTGTAGAGACAGATGTGATCATCTTAAAATCATGTAGGAGTGTTCTTTTAGCCTGACCCCGTGTAAGCAAACAGACGAGTGTTTCTTCATCAGTGTCTGTTTTTTCTTAACAAAAACAATAATAATCCTTGATATCAGCTGTTACGAACAACTGGATTAGAAAACAAACTGAAACATAAAGTTCAGTGTTTTTTTTTTATTATTATTTATTTGATTGTAACATATGTGAAGGGAATGAATCAAAAGCATTCATTGCCATTGTACTTGGTATAACAAATTTGATAATCCTCTGAGATGTGATGTCTGGCCTTCCTGGTTGGTACAGGATGTGAGACTCGGTTGAATGTTCCAGGAGTATTTCGACATGCTGCTGATCCATTAGAGCCTCACATCAGGCATCAGACATCCGTTTTCTCAACAAGCACTGCTGGAATCCCATATTTTTTTGTTTTTAATTAACCTAACAAACATAATTAACTTCAAACTTTATATTAATGTTAATATTAAGTAATGCATTACTAAGCAGACACCCCTTGGCCCTTAAAGAGCAAGTCACCCCCTACAAGAAACTTACTTCACTCCCTCTTCATGTTTAAAAAATGCAACAAATGATGTTGCCTAGCAGACCGAGAGGGCGGAGCCACTAACAAATACACACACACACAGGCTCACAACTACATTGTGACATCATAATGTACCAGTTTACATCATAGCATACCTCTTAGCCAATAGCGGTGGCAGATTTAAATTCAACTGCAGTGCAGAGTTTTTACCTGACAACGGCACAACACTGATAGTTTTAGGCAGAATATTTAAATTTTAACTGAAATGCACTTAAGTGCTAAACTATTGACTACACCTGTCTGCAGCACGATTAGACACACATTTATATAGTTTATCAGGGAAAAAAAGCTGATTTGGGGGTGACTTGCTCTTTAAGGACACTCATTCAACAATAACAGGAACATTAATAAAGGGGCCCTTTGTTTATTAATGCTTAATAAAGCACTAAGTAACGTTAATAAAGGGACCCTTATTGTCAAGTGTTATCGAAATAGGAAATGAACACAGTATTTTGTTCCATTGGAAACGTGATTATCTCAAATTCCTGCTGCAGTGTGAGATATTTTATTAAATATGATCAATAGAGTCAGGAGTAGACATCAAAATAATTCTGGTTTCTACCTCAGCTAAAGCTAACAGCGCCTAAGGGTTTAGGGTCTGAAGGGTTTATGATTCCTTTCTTCAGGCTGAGCTTTTAACAGAATTGTAAACTTAAACATGTGGTAGAGAAAATCCCATACTTACTGTCACCCTCTAAGAGGCAAGTCTTTGGTGGAATGAACCCTTGCGTGGTGACAGAACCACTTACCTGCCCAGGACACTGAGAAAACTCGTTTTCCCTCCCAGTACTTCCATGTCACCGTGGAATATCCAAACTTGACACAAAAGTCAAGAGGTATGGTTGTTAGTTCTTTGTTGTAACGGTGCTACTTGGTAATAAATCATATGTAGTTGGAAGGTCTGATTCTTACTCACATTCATGATTTGTGACAACAAAAGTAAAATCAACCAAACAGAAAAATCTCAAGTTTTTGTTTTACACAAAGCAGGTCAGGTCTAACCCTTCCCCACCTCCTCCATGAGTACCCTCTCACAGAGTTTCTTTTCACCCCCACAGTGCGTCGTGTGCCTCCCCGTTTCTCCATCCCCCCCACTAATCACGAGGTGATGCCTGGGGGCAGTGTGAACCTGACCTGTGTGGCTGTTGGCTCTCCGATGCCTTTTGTCAAGTGGGTGAGTGGTGAGGTGGGGCTGTCCCAGGAGAACCACCTTCCTGTTGGCCGTAACGTCCTGGAGCTCACCAACATCCACCAATCTGCCAACTACACCTGCGTGGCCATGTCTGATCTGGGCGTCATCGAGGCCACGGCTCAGGTCACTGTCAAAGGTGAGTGTGGCTATTCCTGGACTACCTAGGGGGGCGGGGGATTTACTAAGTAAGTCCAGCGTGGTACACTAACTGGTGGGCATTTTGCTTCTAGAAAAAAAAGATATATTGAATATTTTGTTGCTCCAATAATGTTTTCATCTGATTATGAATATTAAATAAACTCAAAACTCATTTGCTGTTTTCTCGTGGAAGAGTTAGCTAAGTGTGAGGTTGATGCTAGCTCTGGCTTCGCCTTGTTTGGATTGTCAACAATTTTTGTGTTCCCAGTGAATTTCATGTCAAGAAGGCTGTGTGTGTGTCAGGGGCGGATTAAGAACTGAAGAACATCCGGGGCTTAACACACGCACACACATGCACACGCGCGAACACACACGCGCACTCACACGTGATACGCACTAGTCAACATCATATATATTTGTCTTGTACCACATAATTTTTAATCTGAAGCTACATATTAAGTATTTTCAGGGCAGAGCATTGTTCCTGTTAGTGTTTAGTGTGAGATGATAGTAAATATTCCCTTTCTTTCCCCAACCACTTCACCTGATAGTAATCTAACTTTAGGCAAACCAGCAGCACAACAAATATTTTCAAATAAGACTCACAAACCTGAGTCAACACCAGTCTCATCAAAGCTGGGGTTCTGTCGTTGTACTTTTGGTCTAAAAAACGTCCTTATGTCCATCTTCACTCATGCGTTTCAGGCAGAGACTGTAGAAGAAGCCGGCTGCTGAAGGGCTTCTTCTTCAGTGGTGGAGGCTCAGGCAGGCTGTATACAAACTACTGCCGGCTGCTCCCTCTCTGTTGGACTTTGGTACTGCATGTTACTTCCGCGATTTAGATCCGGGGCTTTTCATGAAACATCCGGGGCTTCAGCCCAAGTAGCCGGGCCTAACGCCGCCCCTGGTGTGTGTGTGTGTTTGTGTTTTTATTTTTCACGGAGATCGGCCGCGGATTCCTCTTCCTGTTGGCACACTAGGAATGGAAACTAGGAATCGAAATAAAAAACGTTGAGTGATTCTGGGAAAAATGAACAGTTGGAACCGGTTCCAATCGATGCTCGATTCTCGATGCCCAACCCTACCCAGAACCCTCCAGCACCACGCAACGTCCAGCGGTGGTCCCAGAGGCTGCACCGCATCCACGTGAAGTGGTGGTCCCGGCGCTGCCCATCCAAGGGGCTCCGCCTGTCCAAGGGGCTCCGCCAGAGGCTCCGCCACTGGCCCAGCCTGTCCAAGAGGCTCCGCCCGCAACGGCATCTCAAGTCAAGTCGCCAGCGCCAGGTCCGGCGCCCCCAGCCAAGTCATCAACGCCAGGTCCGGTGCCTCCAGCCAAGTCAGTGTCTCCAGTCACCGCCAGCCCTGTCCTTGCCCATCGCCGCCGGCCTCCAAGGACCCTCTGGCCACTGCCTCGTTGTCGCCGCCCCCCCAGAGTCTCCTGGTCCCTGGTCCATTGTGGCCGGCCTCCAAGGGCCCTCTGGTTTCTGCCTCGTCATCCCCGGTCCCCCGAGGTTCCCCAGCTCCGGTCCCTAGTCCCCCGTCGCTGGTCTCTCAGACTTTTCTGGCCCTCCTTCCTGGTCCCCCTCCTCCCGCCCTGCTCTGGTTTCCTGTGGTCGTCTGGGATCCGCCCTTGTGTGTGTGTGTTTGTGTGTGTGTGTGGAGGGGGGGGGGGGTACTGTCATGACTCTCAGGCTGACACCCTCCTCTGCCTCTGCTGCCTCCTCAATCAAGCCCTCAGCCACTTAATTACCATCACCTGCACCCTGTCATCAGTTCATGCCACACACCTGCCTCCTTTGCTATATAACACCCGGCCTGCTCTCCAACCAGTGCCAGATTATTGAAAGCTCATGCCAGTAAATTCTCCAGCTCTCCAACCTCTGCCTGCACCATAGATCCTGACCTCGTTTCTGTTCCTTGACCAACCCACGTGCCGGCTCCCTGCCTGGATTGTTTTCTCTGCCTCTGACTACCTGGATTCTCGAACTCGGACAATTCTCTGGATTCTGCCTCCTGCCTGATCATTGTAGCGTTCACGGATATGTCTGGTTTTGACCCACGCTCCCTCCACGACACTTGCCTGTTCACTCTGTCTCCAGCCTTGACCTCCCTGGGAAACGCCACGTCTAATAAAGACTTTTAAAGTGCTTTACTGTGTTTGGTGTCATTACTGGTCCTCCATGGTGTGTGTGTGTGTGTGTGTGTGTGTTGAGTCATTTACCTGCTGCAGCCAGCAGACCTCTTCTCCTCAGCTCACTGGAATGTGTTTCCTCCTGTCTCCGTCTTCCCACCAGACATGAAGCATAGTTCTAAAAAATGAAAAGAGATCCCTTTGCCTGACTTATCTTCCCTTGCTCTCTGACAGCTCTTCCCAAGATGCCTCATTTCCTTGGAGTAGTAGAGACCACGGCCACCAGTGTCACTCTGAACTGGGAATCTGGGAATGCTGAGCCTGTTTCCTACTATCTGGTTCAGTACCGACCCAAACTGTCTGATAATGGTTTCCAGGAGGTAGATGGGGTAGCCTCTACTCGATACAGCATCGGAGGCCTCAGCCCTTTTTCTGAGTATGAGTTTCGTGTCCTGGCTGTCAACAGTATTGGCCGGGGGCCTCCAAGTAGTGTTGTGGAAACCCGCACAGGTGAGCAGGCGCCTTCATCAGCACCTCTCCACGTCCAGGCTCGCCTGCTGAGTTCCTCTAACATACTGGTGCAGTGGGAACCTCCAGAGGAGCCCAATGGTCAAATCCAGGGCTATCGGATCTACTACAGCTCTGAACCCAGTGAGCAGTCTAGCACCTGGAAGATACATAACACTGATGAAAGCAGATTCACCACCATCTCAGGCCTGACTCCAGGTCTCACTTACAGCCTGAAGATGCTGGGCTTCACTGCTGTGGGAGATGGACCACTCTCTGATGTTCTGCAAATCAAAACCCAACAAGGAGGTGAGAACATGCTCATTTAGTCTCAGTTAAGTTTACATTTGATCCAAACATCTTACTGTTTTAATCACTTAAAATCCATTATTGTGGTAGGTTTTGTGTTCTCTTTATCATTCTGCAGGAAGTTTTCTGCTCAGTCTCACTTATGCTTGTTTTGTGATCTTTTCTCCCATAGATCACCACATCTATCCTGTTTGTCATTTATTTATTGTTGTGTATTGTTGTCTGTGTTGCTTCCATGAGTTTTTGTCTCATACCCTGTTTGTATGATGACTTCTTGTATTGTAAGTTTTTGTCTTGCTCCATCGTTACGTTCTTTTCCTTTATTTTAACACTCCTTAAATATCCTATTTAATAAGTTGTTATGCATTGGCTCCTCCTGTCACCTATTCTTTTATGAGATTTGTCCTTTTCACATCTTTGCACCTGAAGAAAAACGTTTTGAACTTTGTGATAAAACACATACTAAACGTAATTTGGTGGAGCAAAACTAAAAGTAAAATAGAAACAGCAGCAGCCTGGTTTATGCTTCTCCGTCAGCTCTGCAAGGGACAGACACGCACGGATTGACGGAAGCGTTTTGCTCTCATACTTCTCCGTCTCCTGGAGAGCGTTGCAAAGCAATTCCCCGGCAGGACCACAGAGGGCGTAGCGCTGTTCTGTGGTATCCTGTCATGTATCGGTCCAAGATCGTGTGTTTATATTGTGTTTTTTGTGTATCTAAGAGACTTTTAACACGGACATATTTGTCTCTCATTCTCCCACCGCTTCATGCGCTCCCCACCTCTAAACCCACGTTTCCTGTCATTTCTGTCCACAAATAAAACGCTTGCTGCGCATCTTTTCACTCCTCCAGTCACGGGAGAATTAAACGTTCATATTTTTAGAGTTTTTTCGCGAGGTCTTCAAGCTTCCCCGTGTCTGCCGCTAGTTATCCTCGGCTCTCTTTGCAATGGCGGCGCTGTAAACAACAGCGGCGTCCTGACCAATCACAAGCTTGCGTAATCCGTCTCGTTCGACGGATGTTTAAAAAAGTGGGCTCGACTCCGTACGTACTTGTGTGCCTGCCGGAGCCCTACGCACGGACGTTGCGTGTCTCCGCACTGACGCAGACGGAGAAGCATAAACCAGGCTTAATGTCAGACATCATCATGACGTTCAAACCTTTCTGTTTCATGTTAAAAATATCATTACTCCTCCATTTCTCATTTCTGCCTTCAGTTCCATCGCAGCCCTCTGGTTTTGAGGCTGAGGCCGAGCTGGATACTCGCATCATGCTGTCATGGCTTTGGCCAGGCCAAGACCCCATCATTAGCTACGAACTGCTTTACTGGGAGGCCAGCAGTCCTGAAAATAAGGTAAATACAACCCAAAGAAATCAGCACACAGACTAATCTTTATACAGTCACAAGAAAACTGTGTCCACCATTCAGGTTTGATGAGTGAGGGCATGATAAAATAATCTGGTCTTAACCCAGCTCTAAAATTATTCTAGTCTAACTTCAGATGTAGAACAAAGATTCACTCCCAGTAATAGTTTACTTTACTCTAATCCAGGAGGCATCTTCCTCATTTTGACGGGAACCAGTCTGGCCTCTGTTGGTTCTACACATCACCTGATGTTCCAAACAACTTTTTTAGCATGTAGCCAACCAGTCAGAGCTGATAAAGCCGGGCGTACACTGTGCAACTTTTTCACTCGTAGCACTCAGCTTCAGCTCAAACTGTACGACTTCCTCGCAGGGCAGATCTCACGAGTCATGTGCTCACACTGTACGTCTGGTGGCAACACGTCGGCCCTAAAAATATGCTAAAAATAGCAGTTTTTACTCAACACGTTAGACTTTTTTGTCTTGTTTTGCCTGTTGTCCTTCGGGAGTGCTGCAGGAGGACACACAGGGATTTATGTGGGTTGGATGAGGAAAACGAAACAAAGAAAGTAAATCTGTGTTTTGTGATCAGTTTAATTTGACATGAACACGACAAACACGCTTTCTTGACAATCTTTGTGAGTAAAAAAACGTGTAGAAAGTAAAATGAACAGCGTGTGTTATTAGGGAAATAGCGGGGAGCGGTGTTGATGCAGGATTGCGCATGCGCCGTGAGCGGTTCTGATACTTTTTGGGTCGCAGCCGCTCGCAGCGCCGCTTGAACAGTGCGATACCCTCACAAGGGTCGAGCAAAATATTAAACACGCCAGAAGTCCGTGCGAGCTCACAATTGCTGATCGGTAGCTGGTCACGTGGTGTTAATCGCCTCTCGTAACCCCCTGTACACTACACGACGCTCGGCGCAAAACTCGCCCCGATCTCGTGGATTCTCGCACGAGTGGAAAATCGGCTCAAAAAGTGAAAAAGTCGCACAGTGTACGCCCGGCTTAACAGAGACTGAGGATCTTCAGATGAAGTTTCTCCACTTGGAGACGTGGTCTCTGAGACATAACGTCAAAGTTGTTGGGACCCCAGAACTAAATGTGTCTCAACACAAAAATTATGTGTATATTTTATAGGTATATGTTTTTCAACTGTCTGAGTATCTTCTTTTTATGATGAATAAAAATTCAGCATTCTGAAACTGAACTTTTTTCTATATCATTGCACACGTTTATGTTCATTATATCTCTTTTGTTTTGTCTCTCTGCAGCACCGTGTCACTTTCAATGCAGCAGGCTCCTATGCTGTTGATGGTCTAAAACCAGATACAGTGTACTTGTTTTCCTTAGCAGCCCGCTCCGAGAGGGGTTTGGGACTCTTTACTCAGCCAGCTGAAGCCAGGACCACCCAGTCCAGTAAGCAGCACCAAGTGCACACTCACTTTATTAAGTTTCAGCCTCTTAAAGCTGGAAAAAAATAGAATATTGCCTTGCAATGGGCAACACGAAAAACTGTTTAATGTCCCCATAGTTCTTCCATGAAATGATGCTGATGGGGCTAAATAAAGATTTTACTCCACTGCACATTTTGAAATAAGGCACGGAATTGACTTGAAAAACCTCATGAATCCATGCAATAAATACATCTACCGTTAAATGTTCAGCTCCGAATTTTTGTGCAAAACAGCCTGAAAGTTTCAACACCAGACGATTTTCTGATTGTTTTCTTAATAAAATAACTGGAGATGGATGTCACTTTGTATTTGCACATCAGAGATATTACCAGTCCAGGGTTTAGACTTTAGTAGAACATTGCGATGTGTTTCCAGTGCTTGGAGCTCCTCCCAGGAAGGTGGTTGCAGAAGCCCTCAACTCCACTGCTGTCAAGGTCACCTGGACGCCTCCTTTATTCATTAAGCAGCAGACTGGAGGCTATCATGTCATCTGCTCCAGGCTAAAGAACGGGGAACCTCACAGCCAACCACTTGTGGTGGACATTTCAAACCTTCAAGCTCAGGTGCTGTCAGTCATCTTCATTTGAAATCATGCCATCTTTTTGTCTTTGCTGCTCTTAGATGTGAACATTCTGTTGTTTTTGTTGTTTTTTTGTTTTGTTCTGAAGGCTGTTATTTAGACATTTTAAATCCTGAACTTATTTTGTAATCACTTATTGTTACTTTCCAAATATCATTTGCTAATTCCTCTTTGCATTTTGTGGAAACAAAAACTATTAATATAACCTGAAGAAACCTAAAAAGCCATGTTTTTATTAACTATATTCATTCTCCAGTAGTTAAATAAAAAAGAGCAATATGCATTGTAATATTCCAACCCTTAAATCTCTCTCACAACTGCATGAACAGGGGCTGATTAGAAGTTACTTCACCTAGGAAGTGAACAACCCCTTTTATCCTTTGAAAAACGGAGGATGTCAGTCTGGTTTTCTTTGCCAAATAAAACATGATATTGGTTTATCACGATCATTAAACTGTAGTACAAATTTCAATCAGAAGGTTGTGGAACAAATATAATATATAGAGGAATAGAGGTCAAAGGTCAATATTGGTTATTGGGCTAACAAACAAACAAAGTTTAAAAAATAAATAGTAATTTAGTTTTTTAACAGTTTCACAATAAAGGGTTAAAAACGTCGTACTTGCAAGTGTTGCTAAAAAAGAAGAAAAAAATTACTGCTGCAACCAGGAGATGAACCGGTGCAAAACTACATGCCAGTGTGGCACACTAACCACTGGACTACCAAGTCTGTTACAAAACAATAGTCACCTAACATACATATCCTGTGCTGACCATTATGAACGTTTCTGTAGACAGGATGCACGGATTTTACGGTGGTGCTTTGTTCCCGACAAAGAAGTAATTTGTCAGAACATCCACCAGCTTCAGGGAGAGGAAACATGCCTGATGTAGTAGTTTTCATTCAGGCATTTTCTGAATTTTCAAAGTAAAACTCTAAATTGGCACCTGATACAGGAAAATGTGTGAATGTAGTCAAAAACTAGTTTGGGGGTTATTTTCATGAGGAAATAACACCACATGGTAAAGCTCAAAAAGTGGATTTTCCATGATTTGGCCCCTTTAAATCCTTTGGGATATTTGTATCCTCTTTGCTTCTTGAGAAACCCAAAGAACTTTGTACAACAATGTAAACAACAGTAAGAGGGGCTTAAATAAAATGATTAGTTATGATAAACTTTAAAATGCAGGTAAAAGCAAAAAAGATCTGTGTTTAAAAGGTGACACTATAGTGTTATTGCCACGGTTTCTACTCCTGCAAAGACAGTTTTCCCTTTAGCCTTCTCTTTCCTAATTTTATGTGTCTGTTCCTGCTCCCATCTCCACTTTTCTTCTCTGTTTTCCTTCTTCTTATCAGGAGGCTGTTATATCCGGCCTTCTCCCTGAGACCACATATTCCCTGACTGTATCTGCCTACACCACCAAGGGCAGTGGAGCACTCAGCAAGGTCAAAATGGTGACTACCAAAGGAGCGGGTGCGTGTATTAACTACATTTAGGAGTGTTGCATAAATCTATTATTTAACCCTAAGCTTCACTTAAAAATGCAGCCCAAAACACAAAAAAGAAAAAAAATTCAAGTCTGCCCTTTTTTGAAAGTGTAATTCCGTTTTAGTATAAGTGAGGTTAGCCTGAAGAGCTTCTCCAGAGGAGCCAAAGATCAGGATTTTAATGAAAATGGATCATCTTGTTTGGAGAAAGACAACATTCTCATCAGGCTTACAAGTTTTTTTTGTTTGTTTGTTTTATTTGTTTTCTTCTTAATCCAATCATCACATTTATTGATACCAATGAACTGGCACCATTTCTAGGTACCGTCATGAGGCAGAAATCTTCTCCAGCAGCAGCAGGTTACACCTGAATAACTGCAACATTTATTGAACTATGAATACACTTAGCTGGGTCAAGAAGCAGCAGCCACACGTTCATTAGTACAGATGATCTAGGACCAATGGATGTAGTGCAGTACAGCATCATCAGGTCCTGTCACACATGTTTTTGTTACAGTCCCTGGGCCGCCCACCATGATGATCAGCACCATGACAGGAAACACTGCTCTGATCCAGTGGAGACCTCCTAAAGAGACTGTGGGAGAGCATGTAGGATACCAGCTGCAGTTCAAAAGAACAGATGAAGAATCTTTCACCGTCAAAGACTTCAGAAAGACTGATGATCATTTTACTGTCACTGGCCTACACAAAGGAGCTGTTTACATCTTCAAACTGTCTGCTAAAAACCGAGCAGGCACAGGGGAGGAGTACATTAAGCAGATAAGCACTCCTGAAGATGTCCCCAGTAGCTACCCTCAGAACCTGAGCGTGGTAGCTCTCACTTCCACCTCCACCAAGATGGCTTGGGAGCCTCCTCCTTTAGCTGAGAGGAATGGAAACATCACCAAGTATGTGGTGATGTTTCGAGATATCAATGGTCAGCACAACAACAGCAACAGTACAAGAGAAACACAGATGACCATCCAGGGTTTGCAGCCTGACACCACCTATGACATCAGAGTCCAAGCCTTCACCAGCAAAGGAGGAGGATCCTTCAGTCCCAGTGTCCAAATCAAGACCATGTCCACCTCCATGATAGGTGAGGATCACAGGCAGCCTTTGTGTTTAGGTGTGTTTGTGTGTGTGTGTGTGTGTGTGTTTGTGTCAGAGTAAAGCAATATCCTACTTAGTTTGTGCAGATCAACGTTCTGAATAGTGATGGTGAATGTTCTCAGTCATCCAGGTCATGGTTATCGAAAAGGGTTCAAATGAAGGCAACTGGACTTATTTGGTTTCTTGAAGACGTTTTACTTCTCATTCGAGGAGCTTTGTCAGTTCTGACTGGAATATGGGAAAGACGAGTTCATAAACTGTAGTTGTATTGTTGTATTGATTACATCTTATTAATACAATTCCTTCACAGTAGAGGTTAACAACTCATCAGGAGGTGGGGAGGAGGGGTATTCATGGGTAGTTTCTGCTTGTTTAGCAACAACAGACAGCTACAGCTTATAATCCTGACCCTCCCAGATTCCAGTCCTCAGATGAGAAGTGAAATGTCTTCAAGAATCCAAAGAAGTCCAGTCGCCTTCATTGGAACTCTTTTGGATGATTAGGGGCTAACACATGAAGTACAAATTAGAGACAAAATAAAACACAATGGAAGCACACTATAAATGCAATGTAGACAATAGAATTTCAATATAAATGCAATAAAGAAGCTGATAAATCACAATAAAGACACAACAGAGATACAATGTTGACAATAGAATGCAATAAAAACAGAGTTAAAACACAATAAAAAGACTTGAGAAACAATACAGATACAAAAACCTAATAAAAACAAAATAGAGACTCAATAAACACCAAATAAGATGGTTAAATTGTTTTGGACTACTATAAGACTCATAAACACCTTCTCATTGGCCTGTTGGTATGAGTGCCTGTCCTGGTACTGGGAGATAATCCTGGATGGGTCATACCAAAGACTCTAAAAATGAGACCCAATCAATGCCTCCCTGTTTAACACTCAGATTTAGGGGTAAGATTGGGGGTTTAAACCACCAAATAGTTTCTGAGCTCAGCCACTGCTGCAGCTCATCACTCCCCTCGGGGATGGGTCAAATGTGGAAATGTAATTTCACCAGTGAGTGATGACTAATGAGACTTTAACTTTAAATCCTTTTTAAAATATCCAGTTTCAACTGAAGTTTCAGCTGAAAAACTCTAAAATGTTCAAGAGAAAACTGTAAAGATGAAGAGCGACTCTGAGGCATCTTATTATGTGCATAATGGTGATATGTGAAAATCTTTCTTCAGCATTTACCAAAAACTTTGGTGTGAAGGCTGTGATGAAAACCTCTGTTCTACTGACCTGGGATCTGCCAGAAACATACAAATCTCAAGTTCCTCTTAAGGTAAGGCCTGTGTAGCGATAAATGTAGATTTATATCTATATTTCAAATGTGGCTTGGATGTAGCTTGTTTATAATCTTATAACTAATCGGTGCACCACCAGTTTTCGGAACTGGACCGTTGGATTTAATATCTATATCTTCGCAATGTAATCAGTCTCAGAGTTAATGCCACAAATTAATCTAAAGGATGAATTTTTGACAGTATGCGCCAATTATTCCAGAGAATTGCTAGACAATGATCAGGCTTTATTTACGTTTTGTGAATTTATTACAAACATCAGTTGTGACAATTGACAAAAAGAACCAAACACAGCTTATTGTTTCATGCATGAGAATAAGTAAGTGAATAAACCCAAAACGGCTCCACAAGCCAGCAGCCCGCACATCATACAGAAGCCGCGATCAGACAGAGATGCGCCGAGCTGCCGGGAGAAACAGCCGGCATTCCGCGCAGCAAACAGAAGCCGCGAAGCCAGGGGAGAAACGGGTGGAAAACATCGGTCTCCCGAGAGCTCCACAAGCCGATAGTCGGAACCCAGCTCCACCAACATGTTATATTTCAACCCATTTTCTAAAGTGCAGCATTGTGTTAAATGCACTGGGTTTTACCCTATTACATTTAAATTCCATGGTTAAACAGTACATGTTAAAATCTAAGCTCAGCTCGGCAGTGACCTAAAATACATAAATATAATTTTACTTACCGAAAAAAATGAAGTGGAGACTCCTTGGACGCTCTATTAGTGCAATTAATGCCACAGCAAGTCATTTTGTCCAACAATTGCACAAAAAATATCCAAAAAATAATACACAAACACAGAGACTCAAAATCCCGGAACAGTTTCCAAGCCAGACCGAGGCTCTACTGAGGCCTTTCCACGGAGCTAGCTCTGTGGTCACGTGGGTCTGTGGCGGTGGTCACGTGGGTCAGATGCTCATTAATTATACAGAATATTAGGCTTTTAATACACTTAAACAGAAGAGTGAGAAAAAATTCACCCCCCTCAGAGTTATCATGAGTGTAAACTAGATCATTTAAACCAAAAACATGTTTTGGTACCAGGCTGTAAACATGTTTATTTCTGCTGTGAAATTGATATTTTTAACATGGGAGTCAATGAGGATTTGCTCGCTTCTGACACCAGCTCCCAGTGGATGAGGGTGGAACTGCAATTTATTTAATTTCTGGGTTTTACTCAATTTTAGAGCTGCATTGTGGGGGCTTGGGTAAGACAGACCAAGTCCTGATAATGTCCGGCTAAACAAGTCACTTGGTAAAATTTACGTTCCTGGGAGAAAATGTAGGAGTTAGCCGGATGTTCGAAAATGGTATCTTGGAATTTATTTGATTGTAGGCCAGTTTCAAATTCCCCGTTTTGTTTTCTGCTAAGTGTGAAAGAAACCTTTGTGTGAAAATGTTATTCTTCTCCGTGTAAATCTAAACAAAGTTAACCTGAGGATATAAAATGTGGATTTCCGCTACATCTAGAAGGCCTACCTTTACAGACTCAGGAGTTTAAGACCAATCATTAACCTTCTGTAGACTGTTGAAGGACCATATCAGATACTTGTTTAAAAGTATCTGAAGGACTACTAAATGCCTCACAATGAAACATTAAGAAATCCACTTTACAGAGGGCATCTGAATAGTTTTTTAAAATCATTTCAATCATCATTCAATGAATCACAGAATCAACCCTGTCTCCAGATTCTCTATAATCATCAAAGTGTAGAGGTCCAAGGCCATCTGATGAGAAAGCTGATCACGCAGCTGCAACCAGATACAGATTACTCCTTCATATTGATGAGTCGGGGGAATGGTGCTGGTGGGCTTCAGCAGCAGGTTTCCATCAGAACAGCTCCAGACCTGCTCATTGTGAAGCCAACACGGTACCAGCTGAGTGAAGAGGAAGACAGAGTGATGATCCTTCTGCCTCAGGTCCCAGCTGAAGCCCGAGTAAGGTCTGTGCTAATGAACACTGCTCTTACTGCTGTAGTTTTGGTCCTACAGGACCCAAGGAACAAACTGTAAACAGCTTTACTGACTGTAGAGAGCTCAGGCCGACACTAGTGCTCACTGTTAGTTAAGTCCGAGTCCACACAGGAACACCATCCTGTTCTGTTCAATGACCAAATTCAATAGAGTTTACCTGGGGCCAGGGCGGGCAACATTAAATCTTACCTGAAACTGCTGGCTAAGGATAAGCGTAAATACAGTAAGATTGTTATTCACACTGGCAGTAACGACACCCGGTAACGCCAATCGGAGGTCACTAAAATTAATGTTGCTTCGGTGTGTAAGTTTGCCAAAACAATGTCGGACTCCGTAATTTTCTCTGGCCCCCTGCCTGATCGGACCAGTGACAACATGTTTAGCCGCATCTGTCCTTCAACCGCTGTTTGTCTAGGTGGTGTCCTGAAAACAACGTGGGCTACATTGATAATTGGAAAACGTTTTGGGCAAAACCTGGTCTGATGCGAAGAGACGGCATCCATCCCTCTTTGGATGGAGCAGCTCTTTTTTCTAGGAACATGGCCAGTTTTATTAGTCCTCCATGAGAACCCAGGGTCCAGACCAGGAAGCAGAGTTGTAGTTTAACACACCCCTCTGCAGCTTCTGTACTGTTACCCACCCACTACTCCATAGAGACAGTGTCCTGCCCACGGCCAAAATCACACAGATTAAATATCAGGCTTAATAAAATAAATCATGGAAATCTCATAAATATTAGAACAAATTCAACTGAGCAGACAATTAGAAAAATTAAATGTGGGTTATTGAACATTAGGTCTATTTTTCTAAGACTTTGTTAGTTAATGACTTGATTTGTGATAATCAGATTTCTTTGCTCTCTCTCACAGAATCCTGGCTGCAACAAGAGGACTATGTTAGCTTAAACGAGTCGACTCCTTCTAATTATTTAAATCATCATATTGCTCGAAGTACAAGGCGAGGAGGAGGAGTAGCAACCATTTTTCATTCTGACTTATTAATCAATCCCTTACCATTAATAGCTACAGTTTGTTCGAACATCTTATTCTTAGTTTTCCTAATCCAGATTGCAAAACTGTAAAACCACTCTTGTTTGTAGTTTTATATCGTCCACCAGGCCCTTACTCTGAGTTTTTGGATCAAATCTCTGATTTTTTATCTGATTTGGTGCTCAGTACTGATAAGGTCATTGTAGTGGGGGATTTTAACATTCATGTGGACATTGAAAATGATAGCCTCAATGTAGCCTTTAGTAATATCTTAGACTCAATTGGTTTTACCCAAAGAATACATAGCTCCACCCACTCCTGCCATCATACATTAGACCTTGTGCTGACGTATGGAATAGAGTGTGAGGAAATAACGATCTTTCCACATAATCCAGTCCTCTCGAACCACTTTTTGATAACCTTTGAATTTTTTATAACTGAGTTCTCGAGACATGAAAGTAAATTTCACTGAAGTCGGTCTCTATCTGACAATGCTGTTGCATCTTTTAAATCAACTGTTCCATCTTTTCTGTCCTCAGCATTTCAGAGGAACGTAGCAGAGGGCAATAATTTCATTTCTAGCCCCTCACAAATTGATGCCTTATCTCATAATGTTACTTCTTCTTTACGTGTGGCATTAGATGATGTTGCCCCTTTAAAAAAGAAGGTAATTAGGGACAGGAAGTTGGCTCCCTGGTTAAATTCTCATTTACGAGCTTTAAAACGAAACTCTAGAAAATTGGAGAGAACATGGCATTCTACGCTCCAGGAGGAGTCCTACTTATCCTGGGAAAATAGTCTTGTGCTGTATAAAAATAAGCTTCGACAAACTAGAACTACTTATTTCTCAGCGTTATTTGAGGAGAATAAGAATAATCCTACATTTCTTTTCAGTACAGTAGCCAAACTTACACAGAATCATAGCTCTGAACCATCTATTCCCTTAGCCCTCAGCAGCAACGACTTCATGGGATTTTTTACAAGTAAAATTAATTCTATTAGAAACAAAATCTTTAGCATCCTCCCCAATGCGATTTCTTCTTCCTCAGTAACCCCAAAATTCCACTATCTCCGCTCCGCTGCGCTCCGGTACGAACTCCGCAGCAAAAACGGTCCCGTTGTAGTCAATCAGAGCTGTTCCACTACTGCGGCCGTGCGGCGCAGTGCGCCGCCCGCCGTTCCGCCGTCCGGCAAAAATAGGATCAATTCTATTTTTGCTGGACGCCGGAGCACCTCCACAGTCAATGGACAGAAACCACAACCGCCCAACAGGAAAGGGAGCAAGCACAACTTCCGTTATTTCATAATAAATCGATAAACAAAAAGCGTCTTTTGTTTCATATGCACAGGTTTAACAACTTTTAACAAATATCAATGGCGGCTGAACTTTAAATGCACAAAAATAAGCCATAAATACAGTTTCCACTATCAAAGTAGTCACACTTTGTTGATCCAAACACTGCTGATCTCTCAACACAAATGATAGGCAGATTAAACAGTTCAATTTGATGCTTCTCCCACACAACGGGTGTTTGGATCTAACTTCCGCGTTTATTGCTCGGACTGTATCGCAAGATCTCAAAAATCCTGCGCATGCCTGTTTGCGCACCTCAGGTCTCCGCACCGGAGCGGAGCCGTTGTAGAGCAGGTACAGTATAATTTGAGTTCGGAAGCGAGCGGCAGCGGAGGGCGGGGGCGGAGCGGAGATAGTGGAATTTTGGGGTAAGTGAGGCAGCATCAGATGTAACTGTAGAACCTCATCTGTGTTTTAACTGTTTTGATCCAGATGAGCTTTCTGAGTTATCAAAAATATTAGCTTCACCTAAACCTTCAACTTGCATTTTAGATCCAATCCCAACCAAATTATTTAAAGATGCATTTCCTTTGGCTACTGTCCTCATTCTAGATATAATCAATCTATCCTTAGTAAATGGATATGTACCACAGGATTTTAAGGTTTCTGTAATCAAACCTTCACTTAAGCCTTCTCTGGATCCAGATGACCCAATGAATTATTGACCAATATCTAACCTTCCATTTTTATCCAAAGTCCTGGAGAAAATAGTGGGCATCCAAGTATGTGAGCATTTAAACACTAATGCTCTGTTTGAGGAATTTCAGTCTGGTTTTAGAGAGTATCACAGCACTGAAACTGCATTAGTGAGAGTTACAAATGATATTCTCATGGCCTCAGATAAGGATCTTGTGTCTGTTCTAGTCTTGTTAAATCTCAGTGCTGCTTTTGACACAGTTGATCACAATGTTCTTTTAGAAAGACTTGAACATGTTGTAGGGATCAAAGGCACAGCGCTAGGCTGGTTTAAATCCTACCTGTCTGATAGATTTCATTTTGTAAATGTACATGACAAATCTTCTTCATACTCCAGGGTTACTTGTGGAGTACCACAGGGTTCAGTGCTTGGACCAATTCTTTTTACTATATATGCTCCCAATTGGTAAAATCCTTAGACAGCATGGGATAAACTTCCACTGTTATGCTGATGATACTCAGTTATATGTATCCATTAACCCTGATGAATCTAATCAGTTAGGTAGATTACAGGCTTGTCTTGAGGACATAAAAAATTGGATGACTCAAAACATTTTGCTTTAAATCAAGACAAGTTTGAAGTTCTCATCTTTGGACCTGAAATTCAGAAAAGGAAATTGCTTAGTCAATCACCTGACCTGAATGGCATTAAATTAGTCTCCGAGAACAAAGAAAGGAACCTTGGTGTTATCGTTGACCAGGGAATGTAATTTAAATCCCACGTTAAACAGGTTTGTAGGATTTCCTTTTTCCACCTTCGGAATATTGCTAAGATTAGAAGCTTCCTTTCCAGGAGTGATGCTGAAAAACTAGTTCATGCATTTATTACATCACGTCTGGATTACTGTAATTCATTACTCTCAGGAAGTCCACAGAATGTAGTTAAAAGTCTTCAGCTTGTCCAAAATGCTGCAGCTAGAGTTCTGATGAGAATTAAAAACAGAGATCATATGTCTCCTGTCTTAGCTTCCCTACATTGGCTACCTGTTAAATTCAGAATAGATTTTAAGATCCTTCTTCTCACATATAAAGCTCTTAATAATCAAGCTCCATCAATACATCGTATTGTTCCATACGTTCCTAACCGAGTACTTCGCTCTCAGACTGCAGGTTTACTGGTGGTTCCCTGAATATCTAAAATTAGGATGGGAGGCAGATCTTTTAGTTATCAGGCTCCTCTCCTGTGGCACCAACTCCCAGCTTTAGTATGTGAGGCAGACACCATGTCTACTTTTAAGACTAGGCTTAAAACATTTTTATTTGATAGGGCCTATGGTTAAAATCTGTTAGCCTAGAGCTGGATAAGTGGGGGAGTAGAGGGAGGTGGAGTGTACAGTTGATAAAGACGACTCTCCCTTGCCCTGCCTCCAACATGCCTCCATCTAAATAGGATAGATTATCCAGAGTTATCTCTGTAGTTATGCTGCTATAGGCTTAGACTGCTGGAGGATACACTGACCACTTTTCACACTCTACTACTTTCTTCTACAATCTGCTCTTTAACTGTACTATTTTCTGCAATTTCAGCTGTTAACTTTATTTTTTCTCTAAGTGTTTTTCTCCCCAGAAGAAGCTACAATGATGTTCTGCTGAGCTGTGGTGGCCTCATGGAGGGGGCCATCGTCTAGCACACTGCTGCTAATCACTTAAACATTCTCCCTCTCCTGATAATAACTTTTTGCTTTCCTTGACGTTGGATATGCTACTGCTAGTTTACCCGTTTAATTATAGATAAACTTTACTGTATTTATCCTAGTTAATGTCTCACCAAATAGAATATTTACTAAGAAATCACAATGTAACCATAGACACATTGCTTGGTGTGTGTGTGTGTGTGTGTGTGTGTGTGTGTGTGTGTGTGTGTGTGTGTGTGTGTGTGTGTGTGTGTGTGTGTGTGTGTGTGTGCGTGTGTGTGTGTGCGTGTGTGTGTGTGTGTGTGTGTGTGTGTGTGTGTGTGTATCTGCTCTGTCTTCTCCATCCCCAGTGAGTCGTGGTGGATGGCTGCTTATACTGAGCCAGGATCCTCTGGAGGTTTCTTCCTGTTAAAAGGGAGTTTTCCTCTCCACTGTCACTAAATGTTTGCTTAGTATGAGGATTGCTGTAAAGTCACTTACACTAGTCAGTGACTTGATGCAATTTGCTGGGTTCCTTATGTAAGAAATATTTTTTCTGATTGGCTTAATAAACTGACCTGGACTGGAATGTTTATTATGTGAAGTGCCTTGAGATGACTCTTGCCGTGATTTGGCGCTATGCAAATACAATTGAATTGACTTGAATTGAAAAGAGGACTCCTTCAGGGTGGCATCATTTACTTCTCCTCTTTAGTTTGTATTTGAGAAGAATTAAAGACCTTTGCATTTGTCAGTTGTCCTGAAGCATATTGGTGTGATATGTAGTTATTTTATTACAGGTGGTTCTACATTGTTGTGATCCCTGAAAGCCAAGTTTCTCTGAACAGATGGGAAAACCCTGAAGACATGGACGTACTCGAGGTGAGTGGGTGTGTGATTTAGATTTTCTTTACATATAAACAACAGCAAGGATCAGTCCATGGGTTAAAGCAGCTAAATTTCCCCCTTTCAGGAATTATAGATGATTTTTAAAAAAAATCTGTAAAAGTGATAGTCTTGCCCATCGGTTTCTCCCTGTACTGGGATCTAATGTAGGCAGTATACATTTTTCTTCCCAAACCCATCCCCCTTCATACAGAGCCCACTGCAGTTTGAGATAACCATCATTCAGCATTAGTCAATAGTGTTAGACATCCACTTATGTACAGATGTCAATCACAGAGCGTGTGGGTGCATTTGCAGGCACACCTAGACTGATGCGGAGTTGGCAACATTTATTATGGACAAGCAAATCTTCGTATGAATAAACAACATAATGTGAGAATAATAACTATAAAACAATGTGTTTTCACCATCTGCATATATATTGGACAATGTCCATAGGCTCAACTTTCCAAATAGGAGGTCCTCACCACCACCATTTTTACCATGTCACACGTCTCATCACGCCCAGACAATCCAAAAATGTGAATTTCTCCAAAGCGACTTACTGTACAGGCCAAAAGTTTGGACATACCTTCTCATTCAATTTGTTGTCTTTATTTTCATGACCATTTCATTGATAGATTCTTACTGAAGGCATCAAAACTATGAATGAACACATGTGGAGTTATGTACTTAACCAAAGAAGATGAAATAACTGAAAACATGTTTTATATTCTATTTCCTTCAAAATATCCACCCTTTGCTCTGATTACTGCTTCGCACACTCTTGGCATTCTCTTGTTGAGCTTCAAGAGCTAAACACCTGAAATGGTTTTCCAACAATCTTGAAGGACTACCTCTTACCATTTAAGGGAACATCGCAGATTAACAACATCCACGCAGAGTCGAGGTTGGCCTAATTTTATATCATTTCTGTTTATTACCATGGAACTGCTTTTGGGCATTACTTAAGAATAACACATCCCAGCCTCTTTTTTTATGAGGATCAGCAAATGCTGGTGAACAACTGATGATATCATCTGCAAAATTCAATATTAATGTTTCTGCACACTCCCTGTAATGTGAACAGCTGGTTGGGAATCATTGATCTACAGCATGATTAGCAGTTTACATAAAAAGACATGATCGATTGAGAGTCTTTATGAATTGATTCAGAATCTTTATAAATAATCGCAATTCGGACATGAATTGTTTTTTTCTGGTATAATTTCAGGTAAGTCAACTAATTGTAGCTATCAGGCTGATATCTGAAATATTTTTCTTATATCCAAAGCAGTTAGCTATGGTTGGTTAGTAGCAGCTCCAGAAGACGGGCCGGTAACCAATGTCGAAATTGGCCTTGACACCCAACATCCGCCAAAGATGTTCAATCTTGAATCGAAAAACACTTTTTGTTTATCGATTTATTGTGAAATAATGGAAGTTGTGCTTGCTCCCTTTCCTGTTGGGCGGTTGGGGTTTCTGTCCATTGACTGCGGAGGTGCTCCGGCGTCCGGCAAAAATAGAATCGATCCCATTTCTGCCGGATGGTGGAACGGCGGGTGGCGCACTGCGCCGCACGGCCGCAGTACTGGAACAGCTCTGATTGACTACAACGGGACCGTGTTTGCTGCGGAGTTCGTGCCGGAGCGGAGTGCAGCGGAGCGGAGATAGTGGAATTTTTGGGTTAGACCCACTCTCATGTATCTTAGACACGATTTTTATGGTTATATGTTATGAAGACGCCAATATTTTTCAACAACTGGCCATCATTAAATTAATTTTCAAGAACATTTCGATGGGTATTTCTAAATGATTAATAGTAAAAGCTACACATCATCTCTAAGTATCCCTAACTGCTATAACACTGGATTCAATTATAATGCGCTCTGCTCCTGTCTTGTACTTAACAGGAAAAAAAAGTATGTCACGGAACCACAAAGAAAAATTTTAAACTGTTAATTGTTTGGAAGATTTGGAAAGTCAAGTGGTTTCAGTTTGACTCGAGCCTGAGCTCCTAGGCTGTATAACAGAAGACTGTTTTATGGTTTCACAGTGAGTCCTTGTGTTCTTTTCTCATGTCTTCCCATCAGCTGATGCTGGAGGCTGAAGCTGACAGCCATCTGCAGAGACAGAGTCCAGATTTACCACAGTCCTATATTGCTGCTAAACTGGACTCTTTGCCAGAGATCTTCGCTCTGGGTGATGACAAGAAATACCATGGATACTATAACAGAGCACTTCCTGTTCAGAAGCTGTACCGCTGCTTTGTTCTGGCTGAACTGAACGATCAGGAGTCTGTGAGTAGCCACGACGAGCTAAGCATATCCAACACTTCTGATTTACCCACATTTATGTTTACTCACATTTATTAGCTGAGCAACTGTTGTCCCAACATGATGTGTTTTTATAGTGAACAGGATAAAATAAACACTGAGGAGAAAGGGTCCAGGAAAGAGGAGCATTAACAACAGCAGAGGGTCTGACAATTCAACACAGAATCTGAGGACTAGATCTACAGAGAAACTTGATAAACAACTGTTCACTCTCAATACCACATGTCAAAACAAGATCAAGAGTATGATAGAGAGTGAGTTGGTTTGTTAGCATTTTGAGAAAAAACATTTGAGTCAAATGGATTACAAAACAAAATTTTCAGGTTATCACTTTCAACATCAACATGGATATTTAAACATCTAACTATAATGATTTTATCAGTACTCAATCCTAAGTTAGATAAAAAGTCTGAAAATTATGACAAAAACTCAAAATAAGGACAAGGTGTGTGATTTACAACCACAAATAAGTAGTGAAGCACTGATATGAAATGTTTTGGGCTGGTACCGATATCTGATATTAATATAACTGTTGTGTCCGATAATCGATATTAACCGATACCGATATACTGACATTAATGCTTCCAAAATCAGCAGATGTTGTGGAGAATTAAAATGATTGAAGCTGAATTTACAATATTATTTACTAACAAATTCCATTTTTGGCTATTTTTTAAACACAAATAAGGTTTTTCTTTACCTTGCTGATGTTTCGTTTGCGGCTGCAAACACCTTCAGAGCTGATGCTGATGGTGGTGTCACTTCCGACTCCGTTTATCCGCGGGCAGCAGAGGATAAACGGAGTCGGAAGTGACACCACCATCAGCGTCCGCTCTGAAGATGTTTGCAGCCGCAAACGAAACATCAGCAAGGTAAAGAAAAACCTTATTTGTGTTTAAAGAAGAACCAAAAATGGAATTTGAAGACAAACACAGAACATACAAATTATGTACTAACATCACACACATTTACGCTTCTGAGGAAGCACGTCACTGTCACATGACTAAACAAATACACACCACCCCCTCACCCTCTAAAACAGATAAACAAATGGAAACAAGATGGAAAAAATATCGGATGTTAATATCAGCCCAGTTTTATTTATCGGACCGATACCGATATGTTAAAAATGACTAACATCTGCCGATATCAATATTGAAGCAGATATATTATGCATCCCTACAAATAGCTGATTTTTTTCTGATTCCTAATTTGGATGGTAGGGTGAAAGACTCATGAGAATGACAGAACTAGATCTGATCAAGAAACAGCTTGTTGCCCAAGGAACACTAACATTTAGATTGTTAGAAAGAGATGATTGATTAAAACTAACATGATCCTCTTGCTCTGATCCTCTCTCCCCCTAAGATCGATGGACTCAGTGGTCTCCTTTAGAAAGCAACTGAAAACTCATTTGTTCAGGTTTTGTGACCTTCAGTTCATTCTTCCTCACTACCTTCTCTTCATGCTGCTGTTTCTACCAATTCTGCCTTCCTCAGGATCCCGTATTACCTTTTCTTATTTGTTTATTTTCTTCCTTCACATTTTTTTCTTCAAAAAGTTTCCATTTTCCCCATTTTTTAATCCAAAATCTTTTAGATTTTTATTTATTTATTTATTTAGATTTTGTTCTTGTGAAGCACCTCGTGATTTTTATCTTGAAAGATGCTATACAAAAAATATTTTCTTATTCTTCTTCAGTCCCCTAACAAGAGCAGATGAAGACTCGTGGTGCAATGTGATTGGCCCACGGCTTTGGGGCGTTGAAGTTGGTTTTAGAACAGAAATCTTTATGTAATTTTTGTCTATGAAGCTGAGGGTTAAGGTAGAGAGCTGATGTGAGAGACATCCGAACCCATCTGCTCTGAGTCAGGTTTGATGCTGCTGCCTAATAAATGGAACCTGCTCCCTCTCTGGTCCTTTGAAGCAGAAGGTGTTTTCAGCCAGTCCGTTCTCTGAGAGCTTCATGCTGAAGTTCAGTGGAGTGACCTCACGAGCTCAGGAGGATCCAGAGATGTTATGGGTGATGGGTCCAGTGCTGGCTGTCATCATTATCATCATCACAGTCATTACTATTTTGCTCTTCAAGAGGTGAGTCTGACAGTCTGACGCTCTAAAAGAGTTTCAAATGTTTCACATGATTAGTGTTTGATTGACATAATTCAGAATGAGTCAGAAAATATTGTTTTATTAAAGAAAGTAGACCTGAATGAAGTCTTCCTGGTTAAAAGGCAGTTGACTTGCTTAAAGCAATGAGCCTGTCACAGCTGAGTTATCCAGATTAGTTATCCATTTATTCCCTGATTATGATTGTGGTAACTGAATTGTATAAATTGATTTGTTTCATCTTATGTTTTACTTATTATCATTTTATTAACCAAAAGTAAAATGGGAATCGAATGTCTGTTTTTATAAAGATTAAGTTCCTGTTCACTGTGTTGCTGCTAGCTGTAACAGATAAATGACTCCCCCGTCTCTCTCTTATCAATACCCATCTACCTTCTTTGGATGCAGCAAACAAGAAAGGTCAGTGGCTTTCAATCACTCGTATTTGTTATGTGTAAAATCTAGTTTTTGAGAAGGAGTAATCTTGTTTGCACCTTAGTTGTCACATTTTGAAGGGATGTTAGAACCCAAAATGCAGAACCCAGGATGACACGAGGCAGGAGTGGATATGAAGAAAAAAATCTTTTTATTGTAGGATGAGTCCCAAAATAAAAATACACCAAAAACACCAGGGGAACAGGCAGACTGACAGAACAAATCACGCTGACAAACAATGGACCGACAAGACACAGAGACAAGACAGGGCTTAAATAAACTGGGGCATGATGGGAGGCAGATGAGCTGCAGGTGTGTGGGGAGAGGACCAGGTGAAAGCAATACTTAATCAGGGAGGGAACTCACATGACATAAGAAAAAACCTAGAAGAAAAGCAACCACATAACTAATATTCTAAAGGGAAGGAGAATTACAAAGACTGGTGGGACAAAACATAAAAGAGACTAATAAAATGAAAAGCTGAAACTATAAACACTGAAGAGGGATGACTGGCTGCAGAGGGGTGACTGGAGAAGACTAAAGGAACACAGGACCTGAGAGATATTTGGAAGGCTGAAGACCAGAGGACAAATGAGGAACACAAAGAGACACATAAATGAGACGCAGACAAAGGACACATGAGGGCGCTATGAAACACAAAAGGAGAACCTGGAGTGGGAACTGGAGGGGCTGGGGAACAAAGGGACACAGAACATGACATTAGTCTAAAGAGACCCTTGCTGTTTCCCAGCAGATTGCAGCTCTGATAATCAGCTGCCTCTTCACTCTTCAGCCTGTTGTTGCACACAGTGTTTTCATCACTAGTGTCACCATTAACCTGCCTAAACCCCCCAACACATGCTCTTGACTCACATCACACACTTGCCATAGACTGGTTGCCTCCAGAGGTTTATGGAGGATGTCCTCAATAAGACAGAGAAAACAAAAAACAGCACGCACATCTCCTTCCAAAATTGTGAATATGTTTAGGGGAGATGTATATGCATGCTTCCCCATTGTGTTTAATGTTTCAAATGTTTTTCTCTCCATTATGTATTTATTTTTCCCCTCCAGGAAACGTACAGCTCCAGCCAAGGATGAGCACATGTTAGGGAAGAAGGATGCCCTTGTGGCCCCCATCGCAGACCCAGTGGAGATGAGGAGACTGAACTCTCACACACAAGGCATTGACTCATCACTCACTCTGTGCCTCCAAACATCCTGGGATTGCGTTTAGATTGTGTTTGGATCTGATATGCGTGGGATATACTTACTTCAGGTCAGACCAGACCAAGTTAGCGATACTTCTAAGGCAAAGGGAATTTAAGGACCATTAAACTGTAGTAAATTGGGCAGTTTCCATGTTTAGGATTGTTTACAGGGTCATCAAGCTGTTTAAACACAATACGCTATAATGTTCTGTGATTAGTGACACTAATGGGCCATTCCCATCTGTACCGGGTCGGCCCGGGCTGGGTAGCCCCAGTCGGCCCCAGCCTGGCCCGGTTGATTCCACGCATCCTTGCCTTAAGCCCATGTGGGCTGATTCTACCCACCAATCAGAGGCTTGCTCTAATGGAAGGTGTGAATTTGCTGTCAGCAGTGGGTGTGTTGGCCCTGGTCGGCCTGAAGCAGACCCCCTCGAGAAGAGGGCTGAGAATGAGCCTTGGTTGGTCCGGAAAAATACCAGGCCACCCAGATATGTAAACAACCTATGCTACCCGGCCCAGGCCGACCCGGTACAGATGGGAATGGCCCATAGGTACTAGGGTGGTATGGCCTCAAATAAATATCACGGTGTATTGAGGAGTTCACCTTGGTATTGATAAATGGACAATAACAACCAGTATGTGCAAAACAAAAGTTTTCTTAATTTTATTAATAGAATTATTGCCCCGAATATGTTCATTTCAATTAATTTTATTTTCTATGACAAGAAATTCATACTAAGTACTTTTGTGAAAATTGAAAATCTAAGCACAGCTGAACAAGTATTAAAGTAAAAGAACTAAAAGTTCCTTCAGACACAAACTATTTAAGATACAATATCTTATAATTCTACATACGGATATTACAAACCATGTGAATATTGTCAAATATGAGTTGTCAGGTAGTCAGGTTCTCTGTAAAGTGTGGTTGTACTGAAGCTGGAGGAGTGTTATCTTGACTTGGTGCCACAGACTTTCTGCACAGTTTGACTTTTGTCTTTTGTTGTCATTTGAATCCGGTGGCGGGTGGTGCGTTCCACCCCTGGGCCTTTGGTGATTTCCTATTCATGACCACCCCTGGCCACCCATTGGCCAGTCACTACTGGCTGACATATCTGCACTGCAGTCTGGTTCCAGCCCATTTTCTGCATGTTTTGGATCACGAACGCAGCTGGTTTGTTTAATTTAGTGATGAATCACTCCTGTAGACACTAAGGCTGGGGAGACATTTCTGCTGTTAGATTAAGGTGGTAAAAAGATGAACAACCAGCAAGGACGTTTTGCTTTCAGTTCTACAAACACTAGGCAGTGCTAAAGGCAAGCCAAAACTGCCTAGTTTTTTTTTAGGACAGTCTTTTCTTAATTATCAAAGTCAAAAAGTCAAAGTCAGTTTAATTGTCACTTCTGCCACATGTACAGGACATACAGAGAAATGAAATTACGTTGCTCTCAAACTCTCGCTAGATAGAAAATAAACATTTAGTATAAAAACAGTAACCAAGTTCAGAGACTGTGGGGGAAAAGAGAGGAGAGTTGGGAGAGCCGGGAGGGAGTTTAGCTTCCTAACTGCCTGATGGATAAAGCTGTCCTTCAGTCTGTTGATCCTGGCCTTGAGACTCCGCAGTCTCCTCCCTGATGGCAGCAGCTCGAAGAGGCTTTGCATCGGGTGAGTGGGATCAGCCGCAATGCGAAGGGCCTTTTTTGTGAGGCGGGTGCTGTAAATGTCTGGTAGGGAGGGGAGAGAGACCCCAATGACATTCTCTGCTGCTCTCACTATACGTTGGAGGGTTTTAATGCATGAAACATTGCAGGCTCCGAACCACACAGTGATGCTGCACGACAGGATGCTCTCGATGGTGCCTCTGTAGAAAGTGTACAGGATGGGGGCTGGTGCTCTTATTTAGTGCAAATCAGCATCATTTGATGACATCATTACAATCCTGAAAATAAATGACATTTTGAGCACCAAAAGCCACCTGGCAGCAAGAGTTAAAACTTATTTTTCCCTTTCAGGAGCAAGAGGCTCAAACACTTTAAAGAGACATGATAATGCCTGTAGGTTATAACTCATATGAAGAATGTAAAATGACAGTTTCAGTCTTGGAGAGGAAAAGATGAAACTCGGGCTATAGTTTTTATTTTTATCCTTAACGGTCTGGACTCCGTCTCTACATGAACCTGAAAGATGTTTCTCTTAGCTTGGACCACCCTAACATGTTTGCCAGGACTCATGTTCACTTTGCTTGTGTGAGCCAGTTCTCATCTCTCTCACCTCTCCAGGGATGAAGGAGCATCCTCCCATTTTTGTTAGCAACTTAGCAGACCACATAGAGAGACTCAAAGCTAACAGTGGGCTGCGCTTCTCTCAGGAATATCAGGTAAACCGTGCTCTATTAACGAAGCCAGGTTAAAACTTCATTTCTGGATCACCTGAAAGTCATTTGAAATGCTACACTTGACATTAAATAGATTGTGTATTTTTATAATAGCGACAGAAGACTCCCTAAGTAACGCTAGAGAATACAACTTTCAAAGTTTTTTCATTTATACTCGTGTATTTCTTTAGTGTGCTTTTACTGCAGTATATTTTGTTATATGTACAGCTCTTTGGGACAACAAGAAGGTTTTTTTTTTAGATGTGATATAAAAATAAAGTTATCCTTGATGTTTTGGGAAGCATTGCACAATGCATATGGGAGATTTTGACCATTATTCCAGAAGCACACCTCTGAGGTCAGGAATGCATGTAGTAAAAAAACAGTGTCTCTCAGTCTGTAATCTAATTGATCCCAAAGTAGTTTCATTGGGTTCTGGTCAGGACTCGCCAGACCGTTTAAGTTGCTCCACACCAGACTCCGTTATCCATGACTTTACTTAAAGGTCTGACTGTATCGATGTGGTAGAGCGTCCACCTTTTGCATTATAGCGTATGACACATTTTAGATAATTGTTGACTCTAGTATGCCCCATCAAAAATAATTAAAGACAAATGGCTTTCCAATATTTTCTTGACTGTTGGTGGATGTAATTGGCTCTGAAGAGACCAAAGTTTGATTCGGCTGGTCAAAAGGCTCGCGGGCCGCCTATTGAGTACTACTGCTTTAGGTCAATTTTAATTTTGTTCTTAGCTTCTTTTTCTTTTCTTTTTACACACGTTTAACCATTGGACAGTTTTAATTATTTTATTGAGTGATTTTATTATCTGTTCATGTTGCTTTCTAAGGGCAAGTCTTGATTCATCACAGCTTTAATGACCTCCTTTTCTTGACTGTACAGCACTTTGGTCAGCTGCCACGCTGTGTTTTAAATGGTTATAAATGTAATAAATAAAGTATTGATTTGTTTACTGTTCAGTGGTGACTTTAATTTTGAATTGGTTATATTTGAACAAGTGACTCTCCATATTCCGTTATTTATCCAGGACAATCATTCTGGGTTTATTTATATATATATATATATATATATATATATATATATATATATATATATATATATATATATATATTCAGACAAGAGGAATTGATATGTGGACCTGGACATGAGTGTATTAAATAATTATGATTTATTTGTGGCTTCTTTTCACAATTATCTTTTTGTTCATAAGTCTATTGATCCAGGACAGCAGTTCACCTGGGAGAACTCCATCCAGGAAGTCAATAAGCCCAAGAACCGCTATGCAAATGTTATTGCTTACGACCACTCCAGGATCATCCTCACATCTGTGGATGGTAAGACCAACAGACTTGGATGTTGCAAAAGCTAAATTAACACAAATTTCTCAGAAAAATACTAGTTGAAGTAGAGAAAGACCTGGATGTAGAGTAACAGGTGGCAGATGTAAGTGAAATGTAAACAGAACCGACAATTTAAAAGGTATTTAATCATAAACCAAGGTAAACAAATAAAAAAACTGAACCAACTAGGATGAAACTAACTGAGGGGATAGAAGAGGAAATGTAGAAAAGGTAAAAAAAAGAATTCACCACTTGAATAGAGGTTGATGGAAAAGAAAAACCAAATTGTAAAACAACAATCAATCTAGAGAAAATAGTCAACTCAAAAAGCAGTAAAAAAAATAAAAATAAGAAAGATGTGTTTACCTTTGTCCCTCTTGCTCATCAGGAGTTCCAGCTAGCACCTACATCAATGCCAACTACATTGATGGCTACAGAAAACAGAATGCTTACATCGCCACACAAGGGCCCCTGCCAGAGACTCTTTGTGACTTCTGGAGGATGGTGTGGGAGCAGAGAACATGCACTATTGTTATGATGACCCACCTAGAGGAGAAGTCACGGGTGAGTAGCTCATGCTTTAAAAAAAAACTCCTTTTGGCAGACTGCTGTTACAAAGTGGTGTTTTTGGATAAAAGCGTGTGTAGGGAGGACATCTGTGAGCAATAGATTGTTCAAATACGGAGGTGAACACAGACAAGGAATCGTGCAGACTTGGAGGTTTAGCAGAAAGCAAAATAAATGACCTAGAAGCTTCATGTTAATCATGTAGGTCACAGCAATCTGTGAATTAAAACAGCTGAGTAAATCTGATGTGTTTTGTGTGCAGATTAAGTGTGAACAGTACTGGCCCAGTCGTGGTACAGAGACGTATGGAATGATCCAAGTGACCATACTGGACACTGTGGAGCTGGCTACATACGTCATGAGAACATTTACTTTTTACAAGGTGGGAACTTGTCATATATATCGTGCACTATTTCGCAGTGTAACATTTGGTTTTTAGGAAAAAGAGATTCATGTAGTAGTTGGTCAGAATTCATTTTTGCCTGGATTTAAGTTCTCTAAAAATAAGAAAAGATTCCTCTGAGATTTGGAGTGATGAGGTCCATTGCTCATGCCTATAAACATAAATTTTTTTCCTGGTGATAATGTAGCTTTATTTCAGACTCAATATAAAATGTGAAACTATTGAATAATTAGATGATGTCTTTTAATCTCAGGCAGAGACGACCCCGGGGTGAATTTATACAACCAGCACTACCACTATGCTGAAAATTGTAGTAACACTACAGCATGATTCAAAGACACCCGTCAGTTCATTTTAACATAACACTTTGATTTTGTATCTACAGTAGATGGGGAGATAAATACTTTTGATGTTATCTTATACACGTGAATAAAATCAACAGAAACGTAGAAGGATTTGAGTGTACCGTAAACAATGTACAGACTTGTTTGTGGTTCTCATACTGAGACAGTTGATTAGTAGCCAATAAGGTAACAACTTTACCTTTTAAATGAACAAAGTGTTTGAATTACTTTTAAAAGGTGCATCTGGGATGAGGCATTGTCCCAAGTGGAGTGGGAGTATGGGGAACCAGGCCCTCTGATATGGGCTGTTAGGTCCCTGTATGACCAGTGTCAGAGCTTGGTCCGCACTGCCGGCAGTAAGTCGGGCTCGTTCCCAGTGAGAGTTGGACTCCACCAAGGCTTCCCTTTGTCACCGATTCTGTTCATAACCTTTATGGACAGGATTTCTAGACACAGCCATGGTGTGGAGAGCATCCGTTTTGGTGGCCTGAGGAACAGGTCTCTGCTTTTTGCAGATGATGTGGTCCTGTTGGCTTCATCAGAACGTGATCTTCAGCTTTCACTGGAGCGGTTCGTAGCCGAGTGTGAAGCAGCTGGGATGAGAATCAGCTCCTCTAAATCTGAGACCATGGTCTTGATTCAGAAAAGGGTAGAAAGCCTTCTCCGTGTCAGGGATGAGGTCCTGCCCCAAGTGGAGGAGTTTAAGTATCTCGGGGTCTTGTTCACGAGTGAGGGAAAACTGGAGCGTGAGATCGATAGGCGGATTGGTGCTGCATCTGCAGTGATGCGGGCGTTGTACCGGTCTGTCGTGGTGAAGAGAGAGCTGTGTCAGAAGGCGAAGCTCTCAATTTACCGGTCGATCTACGTTCCTGCCCTCACCTATGGTCATGAGCTTTGGGTAGTGACCGAAAGAACGAGGTTGCAGATACAAGCGGCCGAAATGACTTTTCTACGCAGAGTGGCTGGGCTCTCCCTTAGAGATAAGGTGAGAAGCTCTGTCATTCGGGAGGGGCTCGGAGTAGATTTGCTGCTCCTTCACATCGAAAGGAGCCAGTTGAGGTGGTTCGGGCATCTGGTCAGGATGCCTCGTGGACGCCTCCCTGGTGAGGTTTTCCGGGCACGTCCAACAGGGAGGAGGCCTAAAGGTAGACCCAGGACACGTTGGAGGGACTATGTCTCTCACCTGGCCAGGGAACACCTTGGGATTCCCTGGAGTCTGGGCCTCTCGCCTTAGGCTACTGCCCCCGCGACCCGACTCTGGATAAGGGGGTGAAAATGGATGGATGGATGGTGTATCTGTACGCTCTTATCTGTACGCTTTGACAGAATGGCTCCAGTGAGAAAAGAGAAGTTCTACAGTTCCAGTTCCTGGGCTGGCCTGACCATGGAGTGCCTGAATATCCCACCACAACACTGGCCTTTCTTCAAAAAGTCAGGGCATGTAATCCTCCAGATGCTGGACCTATTATTGTTCACTGCAGGTAAAACACAATCTTACATCAGCAACATGTTTCAGCTGTTTCTATCACCAGAACACGGTTTATCTGCTGTGGGAAATGATTGGCTTCTAAAGCTTTTTTTTCATTTTCCCTTTGAAACATTGATTTTGCGTGACCTTTACAATCTCAAGTGACTTTTACAGTATAGAACAAGAACTTGGGTGCCATTTCAACTAGTTAGAAATAAGTCTGGCAAGCTTCTCTTGCATGTGCGTCAAAGAAGAAATGAAGAAGAAGGATCTGGTTTAATCTTACACATCAGTGGGTTTGGTGACTAGGGGTGACCAGATGTCCCACTTTGTGCGAGGCAGTCCCGCATTTTCATTCCTTTTCATGTATCCCGCAAATTGAGACTCTGTCCTGCATTATTGACAGTCACCCATTTCGAGTTAAAATCTTGCATGAACTGTGTGCAGAAAGCTACCAGTTACTGTAAATTAAACTAGGAGGCGGGACTTTAATGCAGGTCCGGAATGCGTTGAGCGTGCACACAAACCACCAAAGCAGAAATGTCAGTGAGCACAGAGGACAGATGAGTGCGGTAAAGAATGAAGACTCGTTGAACTGTTCAGGGAGACTCTGACAGAGTCATTGTGATGTTTCTCAGTTATTTTTGTCGTGTCACGGTGACGAGTCAGATAAAAAACACAAAAAACATGTTGATCAAAAGTAGTTTCCCAGTAATGAGACAGGCTCATACTAAAACAGAAATTAAAACAGACTAGGTGCTGGGAGGTGTGTTGGTTCAGATACATACAAGCTAAACACTTTTAAAGCGCATTCAAGAAATAATGAGAGAATTTAATGGAAGCCTTCATTACTTATTCTCAGAATTTTGAGGTCGAAAGTAACTAAAGGACTAACGAACTAATTAGATCTGAATGTTTTCAGAGTCAGTGGAGTTTTTTTTCCCTCTTCCCTATATCTACTATAAGAGCTATGGTGTCATTTTTGGAACAAAAAAAATGTGTTTCTAAATTGAAAAGGAAAAAACTTGCTAAAAGTGGCTATTTATTCAATGGGATGTTGATATTAGTGGGAACTTCATTTAAAACAAACATAAACAGATCTAAAATGTTACTGGTACTTTTAGTGTCTTTCTGTTTTGGAAAATCAGTGCAAATGTTCAATACAAAGTCTAAAAAACTGCTTTAGTGTTTAAATTAGTTAATGGTTTAAATTAATTTATGCAGAGCCACTGCATAAGGTCCACAGAGCCAGAGTTTAGCTGTGGTAACTGGAGAGGGACTGTGAAATAGTAGAATAGATAGATTTAGCTGTTTGCTTGTTCAAATAGAATTCAAATAGACATGAAATATATGATGATAAAAATAATTTTATGTATAACAGTGATGTTAGAACTAAAAGGCAGAATAGAATTTTTTTTACTTTTTAACGTTATGGTGCATTGGAATTTCACGTGGTCCACATTAAGTAGTCTTTGTCCCATATTTGGCGAGTTGGGATCTGGCCACCTTACTTATTTAATAATTTTTTTAAGCTCAGTACATTGAAGCTGGCTAACTTTTTTCAAAAGGCCCAGTAAAAATGATGAAACCTACTGTATGTCAACAAATCATCTTATGAGACCTGGAACTGATACGGAAATCTTTAATCTTATAGTGAATAATGCAGATAAGTAAAGAATGTAATCAGACAAGGGTGTTGAACATAGATTTATTAGCATGTGAGCAAAATTTTGGGGATTTACAAGTAAAGAAACTGAAGGTGAATTTAAATGTTAATGTTTAAGGAACAAGGCTACATTTAGAATCAGACTTTTAAACCAAAGATTCACAATTCAGTTCTATACCCTTCTTACAGATGACCTCTTGACCTTTACGGCCACTACATCATTGGCAGTGTGTTAGTGTGAGAGTGCATGGAAGCGTCTTTGAGTGTCCTAAAAAGCACTATATAAGTTTGATGTATTATTATTATTATTATTATTATTATTATTATTATTATTATTATTGCATGCCTAAATAAAGTGATTGGGATAAAACTTGTAAATTATTTAAACTGATAAACAAATTTACTCAGTAGGTTGGCAGACACAGAGCATAACCAGATTGGGCATTTCACTCTATTGCCACCAAAAAAAAAAAAAATGAAAACATGAGTTTCTACTTGGATCAAAGGTGAAAACAAGTGTTTTCTGTTTTACAAAAATCCTCACAGGTGGGTTACAGGGAAGGTGGGTTACCTGTGGATGATAGGATTGCATCCATCAGGGTAACCCTGATGGATGGTGTGAGGTTTGCAGGCCTGAGTCTGATGGCAGCCTGAGACCTCAGCGATTCAACTCTCACACTGACTACGTTTACATGCAGCCAATATCCGGGTTATGATCGGGTTAAGGTCGGCATTCAGGTTTCTGAGTTGATCATAATAACCCGTTTACAAGCATAAATAGAAAGAGTTACCTCTAACTTGCATAACCCGATTTAACTGCGGACGTTGGGGTAGCGTCAGGACGTATGGACTACGTCCAGATGCAATATACGTCATTTCTGGTTCTTCTTGTTCTGGTATCCGTGAAAACAACAACATGTTTCCCAGTTCGGAAGAGATAGTGACCGTGTTTGTTTGCGCTTTAGTTTCCTCGTCACTCAAAGTGTGGTGCTGTGCCGCGACTCACCCTGTTGTGCCCAACTTGTTGTTTACTTCCGGTGTTCTGGCGCATACAAGACGTCTCGCTACTCTAAAGACCAAGATTCCTTGCGAACAGAGCATGCGCAGAACACACGCTTTGATGGGGATATTCCGATATGCGTTTACACGACCAAACATTCGGGTTAGAAAAGGGTTACCCCAGGTGTAGTAACCGGGTTTTTAAAAACCCGGTTATGAGCATATCCGGGTTTTTGGCGGTGTTTACATGGACCTGCGGAACCGGGTTATTGTGAATATTCGGGTTTTAAAAGGGTTACTGGCTGCATGTAAACGCAGAAAACTGGTTCACATGGTTAAAACGAGACAACAGAGGGAGTTTAAATTAAAAGTATACAAAAGCCTCCAAAATGCTTCTGAACGCTAAAGTAAAAATTCACATCTGCGTATCAAACTGTAATATATTACTGAGACGTAATTGTTTGTGTTGTAGGTGATTTTTTTCAGTAGAGACAAAATTTGTTCAAGAACGAAACAAAGTCAGGATAGCAGATTTATGAGAGGAGAGTTCTGGTCTTTGCATCTTGACAGTGCTGGTGTGGGCCGGACCGGCTGCTTTATCGTCATTGATGCCATGCTTGAGAGGATGAAGCACGAGAAATCTGTGGACATATATGGACATGTGACATGTATGCGAGCCCAGAGAAACTACATGGTGCAAACAGAGGATCAATACATATTCATTCATGAAGCCCTGCTGGAAGCAGCAACATGTGGCTGCACAGAGGTCACCACTCGAAACCTGTACACACACATCCAGAAACTCAACCAGAGTGCTGCTGGAGAAACGCTCACCCCCATGGCGCAGGAGTTCAAGGTTAGGACATGTTGCGGTTGATGTTTGTTCACTCACATGAGGAGTTTGTTCAGAATGACAGAATGATGAATGGGACACCTCAGTGGGGCATTATGACAAACAGATGGCTTCAGAGCAGAAGTACCTTCAGCGTGTGTCTGTCTGGTGTGTTAGATGACACCAGAACATGTTAAACTACAATCCTAAAAGTGCAGACGTGGACAAAAATTTGGTACCCTTCAGTCAATGAAAAAACAACAACAATGGTCACAGAAATAACTAGAATCTAAAAAAAAGTTTTTATTTTTAAAAATCTATGAAATTTAACAAATGAAAGTCAGACATTACTTTTCAACCAAGCTTCAACTTAACTATTTAAAAAATGAACTCACGGAACAGGCCTGGACAAAAACGATGACCTAACTTAATATTTAGTTGCACAACATTTTGATGCAATCACTGAAATCAAACTATTCCTGTAATTGTCAATGAGACTGACCCCAGGTTTCCACAGGAGCCGTCAGCAGCACATTACTGCAGCAGCACGTCTTGCTCGCGTAAGCTGCTGCTTGGCCCTTCCCACGAGACGCGAAGCAGCAGGGGAGCAGCTGTCACCGACCGAGCACGAAGTCACACGAGTGACTTCATCAGTAAACACAACAACAAGCAGGAGAAATCTACAACATGGTTTGTGTTTTATGTTCTGTCCGTTTTATAATCGCCAATACGGACCTGAAAAACAAAGGAGACCGCTAGCTAGGTGATAACTTCCCACGGGGCCGCACAGTTAGTAACCTTTTTTAAAAGTAAAGCAACCGGAAGGCAGTACGTTCTTTATTCTGAAAATCTCTGTAGCTTCTCTCCATTTCCGCGTCCGATTTTCTGTCTTTCCTTCCCCAAAAATGTCGAACTTGACCCGTTTCAGAGGCGTCGCACGTAGAAAATAGAACCGGTGCGTAAAGGCCGTGACATGCTGCTCCTGAGACGCGCCCGACTCGCGCTGCTGACGGCTGCCGACGGCTCCAGTGGAAAAGGTTCTGTTGACCACAGCGGTTCCTATCAGCAGCTATGACGTGCTGCTGCAGTAATGTGCTGCTGACGGCTCCTGTGGAAAGCTGGGGTTAAGCACCTCTCATCAGGTATTTTGGCCCACTCCTGCTCCAGTTTTCTCAGGTTTGAAGGACGCCTTTCCCAGACAACACGTTTCAACTCCTTCCAGAGATTCTCAATAGGATTGAGGTCAGGGCTCATAGAAGGCCACTTTAGAATAGTTGAATGTTTTCCTCTTAGCCATTCATGGGTGTGTTAAGCTGTGTGTTTTGGGTCATTGTCCTGTTGCAAGACCCATGACCTGCAGCTGAGACCAAGCTTTCTGAATCCCTTGATAGTCTTGAGATTTAATTGTACCCTGAACAGATTCAGGACACCCTGTGCCAGATGCAGCAAAGCAGCCCCAGAACATAACACAGCCTCCTCCGTGTTTCACAGTAGGGACAGTGTTCTTTTCTTGATATGCTTCATTTTCCATCCATGAACATAGAGCTGATGTACCTCGACATAAAGTTCCAGTTCTGTCTCAGCTGTCCATAGGACATTCTCTCAGAAGCTTTGTGGCTTGTCAACATGTAGATTGGCATATTCCAGTCTGGCTTTTTTATGATTTGTTTTCAACAAAGGTGTTCTCCATGGTCGTCTCCCATGTAGTGTGAATGTGCGTGAATTGGTGAATAACTGATTGTGTTGTAAAGCACCTTGGGGGGTTCCAGGACTCTAGAAGGCGCTATATCAAATACAGGCCATTTTAGTCCACTTTGGCTCAAACAAGGACAGATGGTGCGACCTGACACTGATGTTCCTTGAGTTTGAAGTTCACCTTGGATCTCTGTAGAAGTTTTTCTGGGCTCTTTTGTTACCATTCGGATTATCCATCTCTTTGATTTGTCATCTATTGTCCTCCTGCAGCCATGTCCAGGGAGGTTGTCCACAGTCCCATGGATCTGAAGTTTCTGAATAGTATGTGCAACTGTAGTCACAGGAACATCTAGAGATGGTCTTATAGCCTTTACCTTTAACATACTACCTATAATTGTCACGATTTGTGGGATGGTTAGGACCCAAAATGCAGAAACCAGGATGACACGAGGCAGGAGTAGATGCAAAGAAAAAATCCTTTTATTTGTAGGATGATAATTAAAAAAAAACATAAATCCAAAAGGGCAGGAAGCCAAAGGCCAAAAACCCAGGTACTGATCAGGAGATCAAAAAGTACAAAAACAGAAGCTCAAAAACTGAGCACGGACATGGGCAAAACTCTGGGGAGGACAGACCAACGTAGACACAAAACAACACTGACAAACAACAATGAAACGACAAGACACAGAGACAAGACAGGGCTTAAATACACTGGGGCATAATGGAAGGCAGATGAGCTGCAGGTGTGGGGGGAGGACCAGGTGAAAGCAATGACTAATCAGGGAAGAAACTAACGTGACCTAAGAGTGAACCTAAAAACAGAAAAGCAACCATATAACTAAAATTCTAAAGGGAAAGAGAACTACAAAGACCGGTGGGACAAAACATATTAAAGAGACTAATAACATGAAAAGCTGAAACTATAAACACTGCAGAGGATGACTGGAGAAGACTAAAGGAACACAGGAGACACATAAATGAGACGCAGACAAAGGACACATGAGGGCGCTATGAAACACAAAAGGAGAACCTGGAGGGGGAACTGGAGGGGCTGGGGAACAAAGGGAAACAGAACATGACAAAAATGTTCTTTCTGATCTCCTGAGACAAGTATTTCCTTTGTTTCCTCTGGTCCATGTTGAGTGTGGTACACACCATGTCACCAAACAACACAATGACTACCTGGAGCCCTATATACAGGCCCACTGACTGGTTACAAGATTGTAGACACCTGTGATGCTAATTAGTAGACACACCTCGAACTAACATGTCCCTTTGGTCACATTACTTTTTTTCTAGGGGTACCATAATTTTTGTTCAGGCCTGTTCCATGAGTTTATTTTTTAACTAGTTAAGTTGAAGCGTGATTGAAAAGCAATGTCTGACTTTCACTGGTTAAATTTCATAAAATTTTGTATTTAATATTACTTTTGTCAGATTCAAGCAATTTCTGTGACCATTGTGGGTTTTTCTTTCATTGACCAAAGGAATTTTTCACAGATTTCTTATCTAATCAGTGAATGTTTGTGTGTAAAAGCAGTTGTGTGTAGTTTTTGCCATGTGGCTGCACACCCAGCAGGACAGTAGGACCAAGACTGCTGACTTTGTGTTTTTTTTAAAAATCACCACCTGTGTGTTGTCTCTTGCTTAGAAAATTGTTTTACTATTTAAAAATCCTGCTGTTTGAGCTGGGCCTAACCCACATAGAACAGAAACTGGGGTATTGTTGACCTTGGACTCATGAATTCAGGCACTGATAAGCCTCCTGTTCAAAATGCCCCTCTCGGGTTTGTTCTTGTGGTTGGAATATCGTGTGATAATAACCATTTGTCTGCGGTCAGCTCTGTCTAATTCACCAAGATTTACTTGGTGAGTAATCTGTTTGGCTGCATTTGTTTTTCTGCTCATAAAAAAAGTGACAAAACTTGGAATATGGAGCAAAAGTTAATTTCTATTTAGATTGATAGACCATCTAAAGGCCCGGGAACCCTTTAAGGTGTTCTGGATTCATTAATTTAATAAGTGGGGCACTTTGAGTCTAGAATATTGAACCTTTTCACAATATTCTAATTGATTGTGGGATTTCCAAAAGCTGTAAGCCATAATCATCTCAATTATAACAAATAAAGGCTTGAAACCTCTGGCTGTGCATGTAGTGAGTCTATCTCATGTATTAGTTTCCCCTTTTAAGTTTAAATAGCTTAAATAAATGAACTTTTGCACCATATTCTAGTTTCATCTATACATTTTTAACCCTCTCAGGCTCAAAATAAGTTTTGATAAAAGGACGAACAACTTAAGTCCTTCAGGGTTGCTTCTGAGTAAAAAAATGCTTATGAAATACGTATGGAGTAACCAGGTAGGTAGGTTTTAATGTTGCAAATCTGCAACGCCTACCTCCAGAGGGTTATGGGTTTACTTAGACTTTTTTTGTCTTCAGGATGAGCTTCATCACTTCACAGCATCAGCTGCTCATGTGAACTAAACAACTCAAAGCTCACAATGCATGAGTCCTCCCATTGTGTTTGATCAGCACTAATAAAGTGCTGTGTGTATTTTGAGACATTGTCTGGAATTTGTGTAGCTGCAGTATCCCCTCTGGGGATCATCAAAAGAGCGTACAAGACTAAACTGTTCCTCTTGTCTGCAGAAACTGACTTCTACAGCAAACTTTAAAGCACAAAATATGAGATTCATCAGTGCTAACTTGCCGTGTAACAAGTTCAAGAACCGCCTCATCAACATTTTGCCGTTTGAATTCACCCGCGTCTGTCTGAAGCCAATCAGAGGGGTGGAGGGCTCTGATTACATCAATGCCAGTTTTATCAATGGATACAGGTGAGTCCAGAGAGCTCACAGTTATGGCTGAGTTGTGGAGGGGGGGGGGGGGGGGGGAACACCTAGACATCCCTCTGCATTTCCTTCCTGTTGATGTCTCTTTGAACAATTACTACCATGAAAAACAACCAAATCATGTAAAATCATCACAAGACAAACTTTTACTTGTCTTTAAAAAGAGATTTGATTTTATCACACATGGCTTTAAAACGACTGAGAAAAAAGCAACTAGACTTCTCTGTTAGTTGAGTAACTATTTTTTTCCCTGAATTCACAAGGATTTTTTTTTTGGTTATTCTAAATTTCTTTAAAAACTAGATTCAACCATTTAAACTCAGCACAAGAAAGAAGAAGAAAGGAAAAAGTCAAGACATTTGTGTTTATTTATTTGTTTATTTTTTGGCTGTTCCTATGCTCTATGACAATAAATGTGTTAATGGAAAGCCTGATCATTCACCTTCATCACAAGTTAGAAAATCCATGCATTGTCAATGTGCTGATGCTCAGCTAGGGAAACAGAATGTTAACCTTGTTTTGCTGTGCAGGTTGCATCTGATTACATGGGTAGAGGATGAAAGTTGTAACGAACTGAAAGCACAAAACTCCCTAAAAGCCATCTGTGTCATGGTCTGCGTCTGCCCCTTCCTTCATGTGCCTCCTGGTGTTTCTCCATCCTCTCTAGGTGCTCCTTTTGTGTCTTCTAGCGCCCTCATGTGTCATGTCTGCGTCTTCCTCATGTGTCTCCTGGTGTTCCCCATTTGCCCTCTAGGTTTCCCCCCTCAGACATCCCTTTCCCAGGTCCTGTGCTCTCTTGGCCCCCTCTTAGCCACGCCCCTGTTGTTTCTTTCTATGGTGTTTTCCTTTAGTGTGAGCTTCCCCTTAGTATATTAGTCATGGTTCGTGCTTTCTGGTCTTTTGTTTTTCTCTTAGGTCATTTCCCTTTGTTACAGCCTTTCAGTGTTTAGTGTTTTCTTCCTCCTCCCTGATTTAGTCATTGCCTTCACCTGGTCCTCCTCCCACACCCCACACACCTGCAGCTCATCTCCCTCTCATCTTCCCAGTCTATATAAGCCCTGTCTTGTCTCTTTGTGGTTGTCGGTCCATTGTGTTTGTATTCTGTCAGCGTTTGTTCGTGCTCTTGGTGAGCTTTGTTTCTCCTGCTTTGGAGTTTTGGACTTTAGGCTCGCTGCCTTTGGATTTATTTTTGGTCATCCTCAAATAAAAGGATTTTTTCTTTATTTCTACTCCTGCCTCGTGTCATCCTGGGTTGCTGCATATTTGGGCCCTAAACATCCTCAAAATGTGACAATCTGTCTTCTTTAACCTACAGGCACCAGGGAGCGTACATAGCCACCCAAGGTCCTCTAGCTGAAACCTCAGAAGACTTTTGGAGAATGTTGTGGGAACACAACTCCACCATTGTTGTCATGCTCACCAAACTGCGAGAGATGGGACGGGTAAAACAGTACAGTCATTCTCATGTCCTAAATCATGAACCACTGTTATGTTTGAGGCTTGAATGAAGTATGGTTTTATATTTAGTTAACCTGCTTCGTAAGATCAAGCACAAGTGTAATAAGGTACAACTTTTACTGATAACAAAAAGTCTCCAGATCAAATATAGAATGCAAACTAAATTTAACCAAGTAGGATCTGTTAGGTCAGTGATTCCCAACCAGGGATCTGCTACCCCTAGTGGTGCGTGGGAGTACGTGGAAAAATTTACATTTCATTACCCAGATGATGACAGCATTCGCCCTGGTAAAAAAAATAATAATAATAAGGCATTGGACTGGGACGGGTTATGCTTGAATATGCAAATAAATTATTGCACAGTAAAATTTGGTTGATATATTGTCAATTATCTATTTAGGCCGATTGTGACCGTGCATGAGTTATTTTTTAAGCTGCGTCAGTTAACACTAATTCCCTTAAATGCCATTTATTTATGTATTTTTTGCCCTTTTTTTTTCAAGCACACAATAAAAACACAGACTTCCAAACTTTTGGACATCTCCCAAGATTTAGTCTGAACAAATTTCCATCTGCAGCTGTTTCTCTCCTTAATAACGCTTGAGGTTGTGCAGCTCCTCTGTCCCCGTTTCTCTGCGTGGCCGGTGCGTACCGCGGGTCTGACCTCTAATAACCCCAGACCCGCTGGTTGCTCAACCAGAGGCAGAGAGAACGAATAAACCTCCAACTTATTTATTGTCAACAAAAAAAACGCAGCAATGCATCATTTTACCTTCAGTTATCCTTACTGAAGCAACACTTAACTTCTATGAGAAAATGAAAAAGAAATGATTAAACGAATCAGGAAAGTAGGAAGAAATGTTATTTCTGTGTTTACATTTTTCATATATTACTATAATTTTGTGTTACCATCACATTTAACTTGATTTTTATTTAAATATCTTCATCTTTATTCATTTCATGAGGATTTTTGTGTAGAAAGAAAGAAAGAAAGAAAGAAAGAGAGAAAGAAAAGGAAAAAAAGAGAGAGAAAAAAGAAATTTTTATTCGGTCAACAACAACAATTTATCAATTTTACATAAAAGTAATCAAGCAACCGAAAAAAGGAATAGGTTGAAGCCTAGTGGCCTATCTTAACTCCCACAGAGATAATCAAATCCTTAACCAAGGCTGTGTTGCTGTGTTTGAAGATTGATTCATAACACAACATAAAAACAACTTGAAAGATTTATTTTTAAAAGGTTTTGAACGTTAAATGTTCAATAATTTTTGGAAGGATTTGTTCTGCTGAAATTCATCTTGTATGTGAGAATGTAAAACCAGTCATGTTATAAATAAATAGAAGAAACTAGGGCTGCACAATAACAGATAAATATCACAATGAATGGTCAGCAAACGGAAGCATGATGTTTTTTTAACAAATCAAATAGAGCTCTTCACCCATTTGGCCAATTGGGTGGGCTCTCATAGGTTAGATGCCCGCCCCCGAGGCGGACGGCGCTTAAATTTGATGGTTAGCGAACACCTGAGTTAGCTTTGTTCTGCTCTTTCTGCTGATTCTGCTTTTCCCGGGATCCACTGATGGTCTTTTCTTGTTCATTTTCTTTTTCCCTTTCATCACATCTTTTGCTTTTCTAATTTTTATGATTTTTTGGTCACTTTTTAATGTCTTTGTTTCTGATCATTTTTGTTCCTGAGTTAAGTTTTTATTTATCGCAAGTAATATCGTCATTGCAATATTAATCACTGTTATTGCAGGTTTTCCTAATATTGTGCAGCCCGAGAAGAAAATAATATATTGTAACACAGATTTTAGGCCACATGGCCCATTCCTACCCAAATGAATAATAAACCAGCTTTTATCAAGCACCCCCCTATCCTGGAAGTTTTCCATGTCTCTGCTTCAGCCCTCCTGATTCACGTATTTGCATCGTCTTCTCAGGATGACATCAAGTGCTGCAGAAACCTGTTAATCGTTCGTTCATTTAGATCAGGTGTGTGGCAGCAGAGAAACACCTAAAACATGTAGGATAGGGGAGCTGAGGTTTAGAGTTAAGAAACATTACATGAAGGAAAAACCAGAGCAGGGCTGCAGCTGCTACTGATGGAGGCCCTGAAGCCTCGTTCACACCAAATGCAGAATGGATGCAATCCAGTTTCACATGGATCAGAAATCACTGAGTCCAATCAGAGCATTTACAATGGCTGTGGTATGGATCCGAATGCAGAGTTCCAGAAAGTTTCCACATAGAATCTATTTTTTCTGGATCCTGCATGAAGATTGTTAAAGTTAAAGATTTCACCTGAGAAGTTAGACGTGATTCAATGCTAAGGATATTTAATAAAATTGTAATAATTGGGGGAATATGCCTGACCCAGGACATGCAGAATCAACACAACAACGGTGAGTGGTAGAAAAATAACTATTAATAAGGAGGAACTTAAGGTGCACTGGAACCCAGAGAGTGGCCGAAAACGGCAGAGTGGGGTCTAGGGGAAAAACAAATCCAGATGAATGCAGAAATGGTAACAGGAGGAAGTTGATCTTGTTGTTTAAGTGACTTCCAAGGAAGAATGAGGGCCTAAACTCTGGGGGGGAGGGGATCAGGTCCGAAGGTGAGGGTCTGGAGGGTCCAAGGTGGGTGGTGGGAGAGCGAGGCGGTCGCTGAGGGAGAACAGGAATGGTCCTGGTGGGTCCGGTAGTTGTTCAGTAGAGTGTGAAGCCGAGCGGGTCCTGGGAGGCAGGTTGTGAGGTTCTGTAGGCAGGTAAAACAAGATATCAGAATAACGTCTCTGATTTAGGTCACAAACTCAAGTTCCTAAGGTGCTATAGTGGTGGTTGCTACCAAGCTGAGGTAATCATCCGACGAAATGAAGCTTCTCCGTTCCCCTTTTGTGCGCTGGCCGCCTGATGGTAGATTTGGAGCAGCTGGCTCTCCCGGAACCTCCCACCTGAAAGCAAGCTCACAGATGTTATAGAGTAGGTCTCACCTTGGACCGTGACAGAAATGATTTTCATTTAATAATCAGTTGTACGTTCTACTTTTGTCAACACATTTGACTTAGGGGATACTCATGGTCTTATTAAACTTGGGTTGATCTCATCCTTCTTTTGCTAAATTTTATTTACCAAACATCTTCTAACTGGCTTGTTTAACTTTTTAACCATTTGTTTAACAGTTCAAGCCTGTAAGTTGATTGATTTGTTTAGACAGAGGCAGAAGTGTGATACATAACTTTAACAGGGTATCCGCGGGGCCTTAAAAAGACTTAAAAAGACTTAAATTAGCTTTTCCAAATTTAAGGTCTTAAAAATCCTTAAAAATGACTAATAATCCTTAAATACAGCTTTCAAAGGTCTTAAATTACCAAAGACCCAATAAACAAGATTCTTTTATTTCTATTAAATTTTCCTGAAATTGTAGTTAGTCTTCATTAATTTTTTGTGTATGACATTGGCATAAGCAGAACCGTACACACTGGTTGGTTGTGAAAGGGGGCTATTTTTAGATGAGCACATTAGCTGGTTAAGCTAGTGGGAGCTTGCACCATGGGGAAGTGCAAGTTTAATGGTAACTGGATGGCTAATTCCACGTTTGCGACGTGGTTAGCACCGGTTCCAGGCAATAGCTGGAAACTATAGCTTAAATTTAATTTTAAAAATGGCTTAAATTTGGTCAAAGTGGCCTTAAAAAAGGTCTTAAACGTCTTAAATTTGGCTGCCTTAAACCTGCAGATACCCTGTTTAATATCATCAGCAGTCCTCTGAGGCTCATTTAAAGAAGCAGCAGCCATTTCTTCAATGCTTTCTGTTTTTTTGGTAATTCAAACGTTCACTGTTTTCTAAGTCAACCCTTATCATTTGCTTAGCTGATGAATAAATCCTTATTCTAATGGTTAATTTTCTCCTGCGTTTGTTCCATAGGAGAAGTGCCATCAGTACTGGCCAGCTGAGTGTTCTGCACGCTACCAGTACTTTGTTGTTGATCCTATGGCTGAATACAACATGCCTCAGTACATCCTGAGAGAGTTTAAGGTCACAGATGCCAGGGTAGGTTCTGTTCTCCCACATGCAATTGCAATTGCTTAATGTTCCTCTATTTGATGGTTTTATTATAAATGCATCATTCTTTGATGCATTTTATTTCATGCATGTGGTTGTTTTGTGTTTTTCAGCCCATCAAGCATAAAATACTTCTGAGGATTTCTCTTTTTCTAGTGTTTGACTGGACTCAATCTGATTGGAATTATATCATATTTGTCAGAAATTACTATAGTTTTCTAACTTAAGAGATACAGGAGTAACTGAACCCACCTAAGTGCAGACCTGTGGAAAGAACCTGTGCTTCAGTTAAAAACATGCCTTATTTTAAAGATGGTAATGGGAATTATTTTAATTGTTTGTATCCATAAAAACAACGTAGGGGTTTCTAGTGAACAAGTAGCACTGTATTAATCACGAGTATTAATGAAATAATATGAACAACATTTCAGGGTGAAACATGCCAACAACCTGCTTTCTGCAATAAAACGACAGAAACACGTAAATGAATATTAGTATTAAGTACTGAAGGCACCTCATTTGGTGTTTGGGCCACCCTCCCATGTTGGTCTACAGGACGCCTGTTCAGGACAATCTGACTGTGATGGGACAGGATTTGTCTAACAGTCAGGGCTGTGGTTTTGTGTGTAAGAGGACTCTAAATCTTTCTTCATCAGGATGGCCAGTCAAGGACCATCAGACAGTTTCAGTTTACCGATTGGCCAGAGCAAGGGGTGCCCAAAACTGGGGAGGCTTTCATCGACTTCATTGGCCAAGTCCATAAAACTAAAGAGCAGTTTGGACAGGATGGACCAATCACTGTGCACTGCAGGTACTTGTGTGGGCTCTTGTTGTAGTTCTTTGGGATTATTCTGTTGTGGTTTTTTTAGTGAAAGAAGGCGACTATAATGTCCGGCTTAGGCTGAGGCCCTCTTGTTTGGAGTCATTTTGTACGCTTGATGTCCCAGAGTTGATGGATGTTGATGTTTCTGTGTGTCGGGCAGTGCTGGTGTTGGACGAACTGGTGTGTTCATCACCCTGAGCATCGTGCTGGAGAGGATGAGGCATGAAGGAGTGGTCGACGTCTTCCAAACTGTGAAGATTCTCCGGACTCAGAGGCCAGCAATGGTTCAGACTGAGGTATCTCTTTGTACACACTGGCTGTTACTGAACAGACTGAGTTTATTAATGCTGATGACAGTTTCTCTCTATCATCGTTTTAAACTGGATGAAATCTGTGGAATCTATTGTCACTCGTCATCATATAAAAACTATATTAAAGGGACAGCTCGGGCGTTGTGGAGTGGGTGTCTACCTGCAGTAGAGAGCTTGTAGATCAGCTTATAGACTAAAGTGTAAACTAACAGACCATTTTTAACCATAACGGTGGAGCCCTAGTTCACTTTATGCTTTATGTGAACAATAAAAAAAGCTATTTTTGGTCATTCATAACCTAAGTATGTCCATGTGAAGCTGATTGTGTTTGTTTTGTTTCCATAGGACCAATACCAGCTGTGCTACAGGGCTGCTTTGGAGTACCTAGGAAGCTTTGATCACTATGCAACATAACTTTACCCTGGTTAACCACTTAGGAGAATTCCTCTGAGACATATGAGACATATTCAGGCCACTCTGTGTCCCTGGTACCTCTGATGAATAGAAAGTAGGACTGGTAAAGAGAGGACCCCAGTCAGACTCAGATCCGAGGAAACACAAGATGGTGACTGCTGCTATGATACTACCCCAGCCCTCCAACAGAAGCCTTCCAATTGTCAACCCCCCAAAAATGAAGTTATGCCTCATTCTGATTTCTACTTTGCTCCCAAACATATGCCTCTTCCTAACGGGAAAACAGTTTGTATGTTTTAATTTTATCCCAGTGTTGTTATGTATATAAATAATTTTGTAATCGCAGACAAGTCAGTTTTCAACAAGTTTTAATTTTTTTTTCTTTCACTGATTATTTTCCCATATAATTGGCATTTACTTTCAGCATGCAAATTTCAACTTTCCACATTGTAGCTAGTCCAAAGGTACAGTGTTTTTATGTATTTACCTATTTACACACTTGATGTGGAGATAGGTGGGTAACAGTGCACAACCTAACAAAAGGATGTAGACTTATCGTTTGATCACTTGGAGGAAACTCAATATTTTGTGGTTATTTTTACATATTGGGTATCAAAAGAAAGAATGGACTTAGGGAAAGGTTTGTGTTTTGAACCTGTTTCTGTCATAGAACAGACGTTCACGATAATATTTCAGTCATTTAGGGAAACTTGGACACAATTTGTTCTGCAGTTGATAACATTTCTTAACCTTTAGAAGAAGACAAACCATCCATTGTTTTTCTTTAGTCAGTGTGTTGTACAAGATCATAGGGAGCCTTTCAGGGTACACCTTGAAGAGACCTGTCACAAGACCAAAACAAGGACACACCAGGAACATATTTCAGTCATCTTCAAAACACCTGGTTTCAACTGAAGTCCAATTAATTTCAGGTCCAGATCCAATCTAACTACAGCTAACACATTCAGATTTAGTGAAGTATAAAAATTTTTTTTATAAAATATAAATTTAAAGGGTTTCAGATTTAATCTTCATACAATTAAGAATCTTCTGATACCTAACCTTTATGTTCTGGGGCCGTTAAACACAAACTAACTGAGCACCAACCCTACAGATGACCCACATGTGTTCAGGGAGGTCATGTGACCTCCAGCTGAGATTTGGACTCAAAGCAACACGCTAACAAGCACAAGGCCTCAGCGATAAATAATGAATACAGGATCATTTTATGAATCTTTATTTTATTTATCAACTATCATGCAGGAAAACCTCTTTGTAAAGTTATGATGATCCACCTGACAGATCTGACATCAGGAGGTCTTCCACTTAAGTCAGAAAAACTAAGGTGGTTTCTTCATGGATCAGTCCCATCTGACCAACAGATTGCATAGAGAATAATTTAGATTATACCTGGTGAACACTACAGCTCACATTCACCCTTTCACAAACCCTTTAGAAGATTGGGCACATGTGTTGGAGAAGCTAAGATCAAACCACCAACATCCTGATGGTTTAAATCTTCACCGAGTCGTACAAAGATGCTAGCCTCAGTGTAAAGAGAAGACCTCTGGACTGGTCAAAAGTTATATTATCTATTATGTTTTGTTATCTGTTACTTTATTGTTAGTTAAAAGCAGAGATTTGGGGATTTTAATGTTTCTACCTTCCAATAAACTATTTTTGCAATGGTTAAAATCAGTGTATTTTTCACTCTTTAGTTCATATTTATTGTTAATTTGTAACGTAGTAGAACAAAGACCACACCAGCCTCATCAGCTACCATGAAGATACATATGTCAAGATAGGAATCACCAGCTTATAAAGAGCAAAGAGCTGTGGGTCTGAAGCAGTTATGTGACGACTTTAGCTCCAACTCCACGGCGATAAGCAAACTGAGGGTCATGGTAAATGGCCTGTATTTGATATGGTGCTAACTAGGGTTCTGTAACCCCCCAAGGTGCTTTACAACACAATCAGTCACACACACACTGTTGTTGTTGTTACTATTGTTGTTAGCCTCAAGGGCAAAATGCCGATTATCACTTGTAAGTCGCTTTGGACAAAAGCGTCTGCTAAAAACATAAACATAAACACTGGGGTTGATGAGCTACATTGTAGCTGCCACAGACAGAAGTGAGGTTGTCATGCACAAGTGCCAGTCCCGTCGCAAACCAGCAGCAGCCAAGGAGTGTCTTAATGACTACAACAGATGGGGCTTGAACCTGCAACCCTTTGATTATGAGGCAGGCACTTAACTTCTCTGCCACCATCCTGTTGATTGCTTATTCAGGTGGGCCAAGTACAGTGGAAGATTTTCATGATCTGTGGTGATGTTCAATAATCATTAAAGAGCAAGTCACCGCCCATAAGAAACTCACTGCACTACCCCTTCATGTATGAAAAATGCAACAAATGCTGTTGCCTGGCAGACAGAGAGGGCAGAGCCACGGACAAATACAAACAGGCTCACAACGGCATTGTGACATCATAATGTACCCAGCTAATGTCATAGTGTACCTCCCAGCCAATAGCGGTGGCAGATTTAAATTCAAATGTAGCGCAGAGGTTTTACCTGACGATGGCGCAGCACTGACAGTTTTAAGCAGAATATTAAACTTTTAACAAAGATGCACTAAAGTGCCAAATGATTGACTACACATGTCTACGGCACGATTAGACACTTATTTATATAGTTTATCAGTTAAATAAAAGTTAATTTGGGGGTGACTTGCGCTTTAAAGACAGATGGGTGAGTTTTTTTAGATACTGGAATGAGGCAGGATTTCCTCCACTGGGACCTTCTGGTGCAGGTGAGAAGATACATCAGTAGAACCTGGTGAAGAGATGCTGCAGAATCACACAAAGCTAGGCTGCACAGATCTTCAGAAGTCTTGGGGCTGATACTGCTGCACTTATCATCAGGGCATTGATGCTTTTAATTTGAAGGAGAAGAAGAAGAAAATATCATTTTTATAGTGCCTCTCAAGAAAAGAATCACGAGGCGCTTCACAAAAACAAAAAATGTTAAATTATAAAAAAGAATTTAGAAAACGGTTAAAAATATATTTAAAACGAGCAAAAAATAGACAATTGTGATTAAAAAATGTTGGGAAAGAGACAGAGTGAATAGGAAAGAGGGAAATCAGTGGATCCTGAGGAAGGTGGAATAGGTGGGGAGAGCAGAATAAAGAGAGAGTGGTGAAGAAGGTCATACAAAAGCCAGCTTGAACAAGTGAGTCTTCAGCTGCTTTTTAAAGGAGACCACTGAGTCCACCGATCTCAGGCTCAGGGGGAGAGAGTTCCAGAGTCTGGGGGCCACAGCAGCAAATTATCTGTAACTTTTGGTCTTTAGCCTGGTGCTGCACAACCAGTAGGCTTTGGTCACTGGACCTCAGGGACCTGCTGGGGGTGTAGGGACTAAGAAGATCACCAATGTAAGATGGTGCTTGTCCATGTAAGGCCCTATAGACCAGAACCAGGATCTTGAAATGAACCCTGAAGTTGACTGGCAGCCAGTGAAGCTGGAGGAGAAGCAGGGTGATGTGGGTGTGTTTGGAGGACTTGGTCAGAAGCCGAGCACAGGTGTTCTGAACCACCTGTAGACGGTTCAGGGAGGTTCTGCTCAGACACGTGAAAAGAGAGTTACAGTTGTCTAAGCGTGAGATGAAGGTGTGGAGAACTGTCTCAAGTTCAGAGTGGGACAGAATGGGACTCAGCTTAGCAATGTTCCTGAGATGGAAGAAAGAAGAGCAAACAAGAGAACTGACATGAGAATCCAGGGTGAGAGCTGGGTCAAAGGTCACACCAAGATTCCTGATGGAGGGTTTGGTGTGAGAAGCAAGCTGACCAAGAGAGTCTCTGACTTTGGGAAGCAGCTTGTCTAGGGCACAGATGAGGATCTCAGTCTTATCTTCATTCAGCTGAAGAAAGCTCCCAGCCATCCAGGTTTTGATAGAGTCTAAGCAGGTGTGTAACAGCTGCAGCTTAGACATCTCATGGGGCTTAAAGGAGATGTACAGTTGGATGTCATCTGTGTAAAGATGGTAGGAGAGTCCTTTGAAGGAGCTCAGGATGTGCTGAAGAGGAAGCAGATAGAGGAGGAAGAGCAGAGGCCCCAGCACAGAACCTTGTGGGACACCATGGGTAAGGTATGGGTAAGGTATGTGGAGGACCTAAACTTGGAGACTGCCATAGAAAAGGAGCGCTCAGAAAGATAAGAGGAGTACCACTCCAGAACAGATCCTGATAGGCCTACCCAGTCTCTCAGCCTCTCCAGTAGCAGGTGATGGTCAACAGTGTCAAAAGCTGCAGTCAGATCCAGCAGGACCAGAACAGAACAGTCCCCAGCATCACTGTGAGTCAGAAGGTCAGTAAAGACCTAAGAAGTGCTGTTTCAGTAGAATGAGCTCTATGAAAACCTGACTGGAAGATATCATAGATGTTATGTTGATCAAGAGCAGCTGTGTGAGTTGTGTAGCCACAACCTTTTCCAAGATCTTGGAGATCAACGGAAGTTTAGAGATGGATCTGAAGCTGCTATGGAGAGAGGCGTCAAGATTCGGTTCTTTAAGAAGTGGGTGGATTACAAAGTTTTTAAAGTAAGCAGGGACCTGACCAGAAACCAGAGAATTACCGTAGAAAAACCGTTAATTATAGAGAGCACGCTGGGACCGATGGACTGCAAAGCACTTTTAAACAAAGATGAGGGTAAGATGTCGAGGGGGCATGCAGAGGTCTTCATAGAGTTAACTAGTTTGGTTAACTCAGGCGAAACAGGAGCAAAGCTATCTAGGATGATGGGCCTGGTTGGAGTCGGGAGAGACAGCGATAAGGCTGAAGGAGAGATGCTAGATCTAACCTTATTGACTTTGTCCACAAAGAAAGACAGAAAGTTCTCACAGTCTGCAACAGAGTGGATGGAGGCTGTAGGCGTGGCAGGAGAGACGATGCTGCTGATGGTGTTAAACAGCACCTTGGGGTTCCCTTTGCGCTGGGACTCCAGGCTGGAAAAATAGGAAACCCTCGCGTCTCTGACTGCAGAGTTAAAGGATGTCAGAAGATCCTTTAGGTGCAGCCAAGCCCCCACAATGCAACTCAGAAATTGGTCTCAACCCAGAAGTACCAAAAATTGCAGTTCCACCATCATCCGCTGGGGGCTGGTGTCAGGAGCGAGCAAATCCTCATTGACTCCCATGTTAAAAATACCAATTTCACAGCAGAAATAAACATGTTTACAGCCTGGTACCAAAACATGTTTTGGGTTTAAATTATCTAGTTTACACTAATGACAACTCTGAGGGGGGTGAATTTTTTCTCACTCTTCTGTTTAAGTGTATTAAAAGCATAAAATTCTGTATAATTAATGAGCATCAGACCCACGTGACCACCACCACAGACCCACGTGACCACAGAGCTAGCTCCGTGGAAAGGCCTCAGTAGAGCCTCGGTCTGGCTTGGAAACTGCTCCGGGATTTTGAGTCTCTGTGTTTGTGTATTCTTTTTTGGATATTTTTTGTGCAATTGTTGGACAAAATGACTTGCTGTGGCATTAATTGCACTAATAGAGCATCCAAGGAGTCTCCACTTCATTTTTTTCGGTAAGTAAAATTATATTTATGTATTTTAGGTCACTGCCGAGCTGAGCTAAGATTTTAACATGTACTGTTTAACCATGAAATTTAAATGTAATAGGGTAACCCCTAGTGCATTTAACATAATGCTGCATTTTAGAAAATGGGTTGAAATATAACATGTTGGTGGAGCTGGGTTCTGACTATCAGCTTGTGGAGCTCTCGGGAGACCGATGTTTTCCACCCGTTTCTCCCCTGGCTTCGCGGCTTCTATTTGCTGCGCGGGCTGCCGGCTTGTGGAGCTCTGGGATGGAAACCTTTCCACCCGGTTCTCCCCAGCAACAGCTCTGCACATCTCAGATCGCAGCGGCGCTTGTCTGCTGTGCGGCTGCCGGCTTGTGGAGGTCTCGGAGACCTCTGTGTTCCACCCGGTTTTACCCAGCGGTCAGCTCGGCGTATCTCTGACTCAGAAGCTCTGGTGTTGTGCACAGTTAACTCCGGTTGTAGCTAGGTTGCTACGTCCGTTAGCTTAGCTCCCACCTCCGCATTATGGGTTAGCTTCAGATTAGCTTGTAGCTAGTTCAATCGGGTGTCATCAGTTGATCCCAGCCTTACAGCCACACCCTCAGCTCCACCTCTCTTCCCTTTTGTGGAATTGTCTGGGCTTGACGGAACCTGTGACACAGTCAAAATGGCGGTGGTGGCCACCTCCCATTTTAGTACAAAAACGTATTATTGTAGCCTATGGAAACCTATTGTCCATATATTTATGTCGATGGGTGCAGCAGATGGACGTGGAGATGGGTTTTCTTCCACAAGCTCTTAATTTTTCTGCACTGGGGCTTCAGGCTGCGATGGCTGTCATTAAACCAGGGAGCAGTTCACTGCAGGAACTGATCTGGTTCTGACAGGACAGATGTTGTAAGATTATTTTTATATAATTGTTATTTATGGATGATCTAATATCTGGAACTCACCAGAGTATGTATTTAATATTAATAGAGTATGTATTTAATATTAACCGTGATAATTAGAGCCAACAAACTAGTGTGTTTTTGACTAAAACTCACTGTTTTCTGCGTTTCGAGTTCAAACGGTACAAAGCAGATCCCAAGCTGCGTCACTATAGGAGGGCGTGGTCTTTCAAAACTATGGCATTCTGATTGGCTGTAGGAATACCGATGTAAACAAACACAAATACACTCTGCGCATGCGTTTCGGGAATAATGGAGGACAGTATCTTTTCACCGTAGTGATGATGTCTGTTTCTGCTCTGTCTTTTACAATCTGACGAAAACTCCTCATTCTGCACTTCAGCGTTTGTAAGTTATTGTAGGTCATTTTAAAAAGGAGCTTACGGATACAGAGACAACTTACTTTAAGTTTGTTTTGAAGTAAATGGCGGTCAGAAACAATCCATGTTTGCTAGTCGGTTAGCTGAAAGCAGAGGGAGGCAGCTGTCAAATTCTCTGAGTCCGCTACTCTTCTATCGGTGCGTTTTCATGAGATTTGTCCCCGTCGCTTCGGCTGCTGCAGGTCGGATTCTCTCGGTGTTGTTGTGGCACGTTAGTAGATGCAGGCAGGAAGAAGATGGTTGTTTATTTTTTGTTGATATAACTTTTTATTTATTTCCTGAGACGCCGGAGAACGTTCTTGTTGTTAGCATACCGGCTAGCGGACCGTGTCGCTGCAGGGCCATGTTCTGGGTCAGAGTTCAGTAGAAGTTTGCCCAAATGTCAGCTCTGATCAGCAGCTGTTAAGTTTTGTTTGTCACCAGCTCTTTGGTGGAAACATCTCATTTTTGGAGACAGTTTGGAGAATTGTGGATGTTTTATGCAGCAAGTTAGTAAATGCTTGTTGCATTGCATTATTGCTGAAACTTGTTTAAGTCATTTACCTTATACAGAATTTACTTTTCAAACGGAATCAGTGCTTTTCAGAAGCACTGCTGAAATGGTCAGCTTGATCATTTTGTCCCAAAACACAAAGGAAATGTAGGATTCGGCCTAATCACTATTATAATCTATACTTTTTATGATGGGCTTGTAACGTTTAGACTTGAAATCAAAATTTTGTGTGTTCAAATTCAAACTCATGGTAAACATAAGTGCATCCTCTGTCACTTTTCGATTTTTAGGGAAATTTTAGGTAACACTTTACAATAAGGGTCTCTTTATTAATGCTACTTAGTGCATTATAAATAAACTATTAAATAAAGTATTAACAACTGCTTAACCCAGTTATGTAATGCATTACTAAGCATACACCCCCCTCCTCCAGCCCTTTGTCCCTAACTAAACTTAATAATAGTGATAACGTTAGAAAAGGGACCCTTATTGTAAAGTGTTAACACATTTTTTTAAAGGTGAGGTTGACTGAAAAACTATTTTTTCTTAATATTTCTGATTATGTTTGGTCACTCAAAGTTTTTCATGCAGGCTGAACATGTAAATAGTCTCCTACACCTATCTCCTGCATTAGCTTATGACAGAAAATAGAGAGTGAAACTCTAGAATTTGAAAATCCTCACATATCAATGTAACAGTGTGAATTTGCATTCATGGCCTCGCTCATCTTGGCTTGCACCCACCCATAGAAAGGCGTTTCAAAATGTTTTTGCATCGACGAGAGAGAGCAGAGTGTCTTGGTGATAGTGACTAAAACTTGGCTGAACTTGTCATTAATATTGAGTAATCTTGTTGTTTTCTGCACTAGCAAAGTTCTGCATCTCAGAACACGAGCATCATAGCTTTTTAAAATGACTCATAAGGCATTGACTTGCAGTCGAGAACACTGCAAATGTATAGAATAAATGAGTAAACCACACCTTTAAATCAGCCTTAAAAGAATCAGATTGTACATTATTTCATTAGCTTTTAATTAATGCTATGCCTAAACATAGAAGCAGGTTGTTTAAATCAATCAATCAATCAATCAATCAATCAGTCACTACTTTATTAATCCCAGAGGGAAATTAGAGTTTCAGGACACACAATTCACAGATCAGACATACATGGGCAAGACACATGACAAGAATTGGTGACTGTGGTCATTCGCAACCCGAGTTGTGCTACCTTAATAGAGATAAGAGGGTTACATGAGGATTAGTTCAGGTGGAGGGAAAAATGGCACTTCAGAGTTACGCCGGGGACACACCGGCCGCGGAAGCGCCGAGAAGCGAATCGCTCACGAAATTCGGCCGCTGCTCGCCGCTCCTCAGTTCAGATCAGACGCGCCCCAGTCAAGGCGCGCCTCGGCTCAGCTGTAGTTTTTCTTTTAAACACTTGGTGTCCTCCATTTCCTCTCTGCCTTTTCTCAGCTATTTTCCTCTACGTGTGTGTGCGCGCGCATGTGCGTGCATGCGTGCGTGCGTGCGTGCGTGTGTGTGTGTGTGTGTGTGTGTGTGTGTGCGTGCGTGTGTGTGTGTGTGTGTGTGTGTGTGTGTGTGTGTGTGTGTGTGTGTGTGTGTGTGTGTGTGAACCTATGGTATGAGTTGTTTCTGCCAGTTGAATCTCTTGGAACCCGCTCCAATTCTGCAGCTGTATCCTAGCAGTTTCTTCCGAAATGGGTACGTAAATAATCGTGTTTTTCGGGGGTCGTACAGCTCCTTGTGTTTCTCAACTTCCATAATTAATTTAAAGTCATCCATCTTAACTGCTTGCCTCAGACTTTCTGCCTCTCTGTCCTGTTTGCTCCGGTGAAAAGACACCCAAAACCACACACCCCTTCACGTGGTCACACACGCACACAAGTTCGATGTGTGTGTGTGTTCGTGTGGTTTTTCTGCAGTGTCTGATTACGAACACGTTTGACTATTGCGGAATTTTATTTTGAAATGCTTTATTTTGTTAACTTTACCGGCCTGCCTCTTATGTCTAGGTTTGACTTCCTGCCAGAATTGACGCGATTCACCCGCGGCTCGCAAAAAAAATAGAGCCGACGCCGAAATGATCGCTGCACGGCGCGGGCTGGGGCGCCGGCGCGAGGCGATTCGCGGCGCTTCGGCGGCCCATGTGGTCTATAGAATAGCTTAACAAGGGCGCCGAATGAAGGCGGTCCCATTTTCGCGGCGCTTCCGCGGCCGGTGTGTCCCCGGCGTTACCCTCCACCGGGAGGACAGCTTTGCTCTGCAAGAAACACCTCAAACAGATATGCAACAGACTTCAGACTAGGGCTGCAACAACGAATCGATAAATTCGATGAAAATTGATTACTAAAATCGTTGGCAACGAATTGCGTCATCGATTCGTTGTGTTGCACAACTCTTCCAAAAGCCCCCTCCCCTCCCGCCCGCTGTTGCGCGCAGACCGGAGAGCTGGCAGGTGTTTGGAAGAGGAACATGGCAGAAGCAGCGAGACCCAAAAAAAGTCAAAACTTCTAAAGTTTGGGAGCATTTTCAGTTAAATCAGGCGAAGAAATTCGTTACCTGCAACATTTGTAGGTCAGACTTAGCATGGCACGGGAGTACTACGGTGATGATGCAGCATCTTAAACGCAAGCATGTCAGAATCATCAGCGAGGAGGGAGAGAGCTCTGTGTCCGAGTAAGTTAAAAACTTTTCAAAAGTGATTCACCCAAGCCCCGGATTATTACACACACTAGACATGCCCTAAGCTCTTAAAAAAAGTCTATAAAACCGTAAGCGCGACGCTATTGGATGGGCAGGAGGCGCACTCGCGCTGCTGCGAACCGGTTCCGCCGTCACATTCCCGCCGAAACTGGTTGATCACACCGGGGCCAGACTACTAGCATGTGGCTTTACAGCCACAATGTCCTCAGAAGCAAAAACGCTTTTAAAAGGGAGGGAGGAGTCCTAACTGTTGCTGCAGGCGTGTTGTGTGAGAGTGCAGTTATATACTGGTTAATATATTTTTGGGTTCAGTTGCTTTCATGTGGCCTAATGTGAGTCTATTTGGGATCATTGGAATGATCAGCCGCATTTCTTGATGTGACTTTATGGCAGTTGCCCAGGGCATCATCACAAGGAGGATGGCATTCATTTACTTTAGTTTTATTTGGTATTTTTTCAGTCATTTTTGGAAATAGTGATTAATTTTGATTAATTCACAGCCTATGTTTAATTACATTTCAAAATTAGTTGTTTGACACCCCCAATTATAATAAATGTCTACAGATGAGATCAACCAAAACAGATGAGAATTGCCCTTAAAGAGCAAGTCACCCCCAAATAAACTTTTTTTTTTGCTGATAAACTAAATAAACGAGTGTCTAATCGTGCTGCAGACACGTGTCGTCAATAATTTGGCACTTCAGTGCATCTTAGTCTCGTCTCGTCTTCCTCCGCTTATCCGGGTCCGGGTCGCGGGGGCAGCATCCCAACTAGGGAGCTCCAGGCCGTCCTCTCCCCGGCCTTGTCCACCAGCTCCTCCGGCAGGACCCCAAGGCGTTCCCGGACCAGATTGGAGATGTAACCTCTCCAACGTGTCCTGGGTCGACCCGGGGGCCTTCTGCCGGCAGGACATGCCCGAAACACCTCCCCGGGGAGGCGTCCAGGAGGCATCCTGACCAGATGCCCAAACCACCTCAACTGGCTCCTTTCGATCCGGAGGAGCAGCGGTTCTACTCCGAGTCCCTCCCGAATGTCCGAGCTCCTCACCCTATCTCTAAGGCTGAGCCCGGCCACCCTACGGAGGAAACTCATTTCGGCCGCTTGTATCCGCGATCTCGTTCTTTCGGTCATTACCCAAAGCTCATGACCATAGGTGAGGATTGGGACGTAGATCGACCGGTAAATCGAGAGCCTGGCTTTCTGGCTCAGCTCCCTCTTCCCCACGACAGATCGGCTCAGCGTCCGCATCACTGCAGACGCCGAACCAATCCGCCTGTCGATCTCCCGATCCCTCCTACCCTCACTCGTGAACAAGACCCCGAGATACTTAAACTCCTCCACTTGAGGTAGGACCTCTCCCCCGACCCGGAGGTGGCAAGCCACCCTTTTCCGGTCGAGAACCATGGTCTCAGATTTGGAGGTGCTGATCCTCATCCCAGCCGCTTCACATTCGGCCGCGAACCTACCCAGCAAGAGCTGAAGGTCAGAGCTGGATGAAGCTAGGAGGACCACATCATCCGCAAAAAGCAGAGACGAGATTCTCCTGCCACCAAACTCGACACACTCCACACCACGGCTGCGTCTAGAAATTCTGTCCATAAAAGTGATGAACAGAACCGGTGACAAAGGGCAGCCCTGGCGGAGTCCAACCCTCACTGGGAACAGGTCCGACTTACTACCGGCTATGCGGACCAAACTCACGCTCCTCTGGTAAAGGGACTGAATGGCCCTTAACAGAAAGCCACCCACCCC